CTTATACAGCCACCGTCCAAACATCTGAACTCATTTCCTGCATCTACAGTAGAGCAGATGGTGTTTACCACAGCAGCGCCTCCTGCTGGACCACAACAACACTTTCGGTCATTTTTATTTTAGACATTACTAATTTTTTTAACATTCTTCAAAGTATCTTATTTTATATTTAACAAAAAAAACATTTATAACTGACTAAATAAACAACAACAACAACACACACAGGTCGGCTGATTCAGCTGGTTTAATTTTCATACAAAAACTTCCTTGTACAAAAAAAGCAGACAAATAGAAATATCAGAATCAGTGGAGCTCTGAGAGACGACAGTTTTTACCACAGCTCTAGTTATGTGTGTTATTCCCCTCGACAGGCCTCCTGAACAGTGTGTGTGTGTGTTATATTCCTCCGTCCGCCACTCTGCTGAACAGTGTGTGTCTCTGCGCGGTGCTCATGTTCTCGCTGGCCTCCAGCAGGTTGCTCAGGATCAGTGTGTGTTGGACGGTTCTGGCCTTCACCCACACTCTGCCGTTCATGCCCACCACCATCTCACAGGGGAACATCTTCTCCAGATCCGAAACCAGATCACTTTGTGGAGCCAGCAGCCTACACACACATACACACACACACACACACACACACACAAGCGCTCGATCATCACTAATAACTGCACATTTACATGTTCACTTCTCTAAACTCAGGGCTTTTGCTAGTAACGACAATAGCAGAGTCCACTAAAGGAGATCGAGTCTTCTCATTTATGGCTCCTAAACTCAGGTATAGCCTTCCTGATAATGTCCGAGACTCAGACACACTCTCTCCGCTCAACACTAGAGTAAAGACCCATCTCTATAGTAACACACACACTGCTACACCTAACAGTATGATGCATAAGTGTGCTCCACACAGGTGTGTGTTTTCTAATCAGTACTGTGTGTTGGTGTGCGTTTTCTGATCAGTAGTGTGTGTTTTCTGATCAGTAGTGTGTGTTAGTGTGCATTTTCTGATCAGTAGTGTGTGTTTTCTGATCAGTAGTGTGTGTTAGTGTGCATTTTCTGATCAGTAGTGTGTGTTTTCTGATTAGTAGTGTGTGTTAGTGTGTGTTTTCTGATCAGTAGTGTGTGTTAGTGTGTGTTTTCTGATCAGTAGTGTGTGTTTTCTGATCAGTAGTGTGTGTTAGTGTGCGTTTTCTGATCACTAGTGTGTGTTTTCTGATCAGTAGTGTGTGTTAGTGTGTGTTTTCTGATCAGTAGTGTGTGTTAGTGTGTGTTTTCTGATCAGTAGTGTGTGTTAGTGTGTGTTTTCTGATCAGTAGTGTGTGTTAGTGTGTGTTTTCTGATCAGTAGTGTGTGTTTTCTGATCAGTAGTGTGTGTTTTCTGATCAGTAGTGTGTGTTAGTGTGTGTTTTCTGATCAGTAGTGTGTGTTATAGTGTGTTTTCTGATCAGTAGTGTGTGTTAGTGTGTGTTTTCTGATCAGTAGTGTGTGTTAGTGTGTGTTTTCTGATCAGTAGTGTGTGTTAGTGTGTGTTTTCTGATCAGTAGTGTGTGTTTTCTGATCAGTAGTGTGTGTTTTCTGATCAGTAGTGTGTGTTAGTGTGTGTTTTCTGATCAGTAGTGTGTGCTGGCTTGACCTGTCCTAATACACCAGACACTGTGTTTAAACACTCGTCCGCTTCACAAGTGTGTTTCTATAACTCTTATTTTCCCTGCTGCCTGTGCTGTTGAGTGTGTGTGTGTGTGTGTGTGTGTGTGTGTGTGTGTGTGTGTGTGTGTGTAGCTGTAGGTCAGACCTGCGCACGAGTCCCAGCGACACTTTAAAGAGCAGCCCGTCGCCTCCGAACACACCCATCCCGTTGGCTCTCCCGCAGCTGTCGATACACACCAGCTCCGGCTCCATGTCCTTGTTGGCGATGGTGAACTGCCCGAACACCAGATCTCCAACCTGGAGGAGCAAACAGCAGCGTTAGGAGGACTCATACACACCGAACACGACTTTGCTGGGTTGTTTTCCTCCACTCTGGGTTGATGTCGAGTCTTCATTTGTCCTCTTTCTCTGTGTTTCAGTAAATGTGATGATTTCTGCTGAATAATCTGAGTCTGACACACATTATGGGGAAATGCTGTGAGAGTTTTCATAACTCATCAACACACTGTTCACACTGTGTGTGTGTGTGTGTGTGTGTGTGTGTGTGTGTGTGTGTTCACACTGACTCTGCTTGGTTATGTTGTCTGTTGTTGCTCCATTCACTTCCATTATAATCACAGTTATTGACGGTGAAGCCCTGACAGCAGATCATCCTGCATTACTGACTGCTGCTGCTTCCCTGTGGGTCGATCTGTCATTTCACTGTTGATCATGAGTTGTTGCTGCTGGAGTGGCTCTGTCATCATGTACCTGCACGTTGGGTCTGTTCCTCTTGGTGGCTCCTTCAAAGGCCAGGTAGGACAGAGACGCCTGCTCACTTCCTCCAACGTCCACTTTGAAGACGTCTCCAGACTTTGCGGTCACGATGCCGATCACACTCTCACCCTTAGCTGGAACATACTGCAGGAAAGAGCAGAGGTCAGTCCGGAACACCTTCAGCACAGATAGAGGAGCACCACGACACATCCTGACCTGTGCAGTGTTAAAAAGGGCCAGTTCACCCAAACATGAACACTCTGTCATTTATTCACCCTTTACTTGTTCCAGACCCGTTCAGAACACTAATAAGATATTTAGAAAAATGCTGGAAACCTGGAGCCATTGTCTTCCATTTGTTTTTCCTACTATGGAAGTCAATGGTTACCGGTTTTCTGCATTCTTCAAAGTATCTTCTCTTGTGTTTGACAAAAAAAGAAACATGTAAAGGTTTAAAAATACGCTGAGAAAGGGAGTAAATATTCATTCTTGAGTGAACTGACCCTTTAAGATGACTAAAATAAATGATTTATATAGACCAAACGTAGTATACAGCTCTCTATCTCTCTCTCTCTCTCTCTCTCTCTCTCTCTCACTCATATATATATATATTTATTTAGTAGGGTTGGGCGATGTCAACCAATTTGGCAGTAGTGTGTGTTATTGTGTGTTTTCTGCCTAGTAGTGTGTGTGTTAGGTTGGGTTTTCTGCCTAGTGGTGTGTTTTTTTTTTTCCAGTAGTGTGTGTGATTGCGTGTTTTGCCTAGTAGTGTGTTCTAGGTTGTGTTTTCTGCCCAGTAGTGTGTGTTATTGTTTGTTTTCTGCCCAGTAGTGTGTGTTAGAGTGTGTTTTCTGCCCAGTATTGTGTTAACGTGTGTTTTCTGCCCAGTAATGTGTGTGTTCTGCCCAGTATTGTGTGTTATTGTGTGTTTTCTGCCCAGTAATGTGTGTTTTCTGCCCAGTAGTGTGTGTTATTGAGTGTTTTCTGCCCAGTAATGTGTGTTTTCTGCCCAGTAGTGTGTGTTATTGAGTGTTTTCTGCCCAGTAGTGTGTGTTATTGTGTGTTCTGCCCAGTAGTGTGTGTTAGGTTGTGTGTTCTGCCTAGTAGCGTGTGTTATTGTGTGTTTTCTGCCCAGTAGTGTGTGTTACTGTGTGTTCTGCCCAGTAGTGTGTGTTACTGTGTGTTCTGCCCAGTAGTGTGTGTTATTGAGTGTTTTCTGCCCAGTATTGTGTGTTATTGAGTGTTTTCTGCCCAGTAGTGTGTGTTATTGTGTGTTCTGTCCAGTAGTGTGTGTTAGGTTGTGTGTTATGGCTAGTAGTGTGTGTTAGGTTGTGTGTTCTGCCTAGTAGTGTGTGTTATTGTGTGTTTTCTGCCCAGTAGTGTGTGTTATTGTGTGTTCTGTCCAGTAGTGTGTGTTAGGTTGTGTGTTATGGCTAGTAGTGTGTGTTAGGTTGTGTGTTCTGCCTAGTAGTGTGTGTTATTGTGTGTTTTCTGCCCAGTAGTGTGTGGTATTGTGTGTTCTGGCTAGTAGTGTGTGTTAGGTTGTGTGTTATGGCTAGTAGCGTGTGTTATTGTGTGTTTTCTGCCCTGTAGTGTGTGTTAGTGAATTTTCTGAACAATAGTGTGTGCTGGCACATGTTGTGTGTGTGTGTGTTCTGACCCGTCTCTGCTGACAGTTGACCCAGTACATGTTGGGTTGTTTGTGTTTCAGGACTCCTGCTCTACACACACGGATCTCCGCTCCGCTCCGCCGCAGCCCCGGGCCGCAGATCAGCCTGTCCGCTTTCGGGTTCGCGTCTCCGGCTTCAGGAGGACTGAAGGAGAACAGCAGATCGCCTGGAAGAACCACATCTCCTATCCTCTCCAGCAGACTAGTGTGCACTGAGGAGTCCATGATGGAGGAGCGGAAAACACACACAAACACACGTGTCTGAGCACTTCCGGCACGGGGACTCTTATCCTATACAAATTAACTCATTAAAACCTCTCCAACCCTTTATGTCCACAACAGAAATATATTATAAAGATTTTTCTAAAAGCATTCTTAATATCATTCGACACCGGTAACCATCGACATCCATTATAAGAAAATAAATTCTATTGAAGTCAACAGTTAACGTTACTGGTTTCCAACGCTTAAATAACTTGTGTTCAACTGAGACATGGAATTAAACCGGTTTGGGACATGTAACGTTAACGGTTGAGTAAGTGATGGCAGGATTTATTTTAAGGAGATCTACCCCATTTATTAATATTTAGTCTTTGATTGTTTTTAAAAACGAAATATAATTAAATCGTAAAAACAATCAATAAATCAAAAACTGGATAAAGAGAGGGAGAACGTGCTAACATTCCAGCTAACACAAATCTTCCCCTTTAATTTAGGTTATTTTTGGGACTAATTAAACTAAAACTATAACTAAAATAACTTTAACTAAATAGGAACGTTCTGGTAACCAAAACTGTTGGCCAAGTTACTGGACTATACCGAAAAATGCATATTTTTTACCAGTTAAGTTAAATAATTCATACTGGAAATAAAAGTCACGATGTTTCAGAAGTTTGAAAACCGCTGAGCGGGAAATGGGGACTTTTGTGGCATTTCCGTTATGGCGGAGCACACAGAGGCAGAAGGCATCGGCCTGGCTGCAAACAGGTGCAGTTTTCGCTTTATTTTTCCCTCTCAGATAAACACAGACCCCCGGTTATCATTCGCCTTAGTTTATCCCGAAACTCCTCTGGGCTTCGTCTCCAATAAGGCAGATTTGAGTGGGTTTTAGCCTCGTCTGGCCCGTCGGAGGGTGGACAATGAAAGCAGCACAGCAGCAGTCGCCTCACTGTGTTTATATCGCAGTTTCCGCCGAGAATAAGAGCTTGAGGACACACACCGAGTCTCAGAAATAACCCTGTCAGTGTGTAGAGGGTGTGATGTGGCTGTGAGATCAGCTGGACAGTGTGTTTATGATGGAGTCAGTGCTTCAGATTCAGGTGTACTGTAATGAACACCTTCAGCAATGCAGGAGTCAGTGCAGACACTCCTCCATCATCAGTATCTGGGGTTAAAGTGTGTGTTCTGCTCGTCTTCAGCGTGTTTATGGTGTGTGTGTATCTGTTATTAACAGTGTTGGGGAGAGTTTCTCTCGAAAGTAACGGATTACAGTGTCGCGTTACGGTGTTTTAATGCAGGTGATGTGCTGTGAAAAGGCTGGAACTTTGCTTTTGGCTGAAAATGAGTTGTTGACGCTTTTGGGATATGCAGGATTTCCTTCAACACATGGACATGTTCCTTGAGCCACTTGTGTTTTTTTTAATTGTCACATTGCCAGTTTCCTAACAACAATTATTTGATTTAAGTAATTTTTCCTCAGTGCTACAGTAGAGCTGCACATGATGCTATGATATGACTCGCTGCCTGTCATGTTTATGGTGATATGTATCAGGCATGGGCTGGTATTAGTTTCTGACCGTATGATAACCTTGGACATAAATATCACGGTTTCACAGTATCATGTTATTGTGCTCACTGCTCTGAAATATTTACTTTTTAAATCTCTGGTTAAAAAACTAAACTTTTTTTTCCTTTTTTAATATATATATTCTATTTTGGGAAACATTTAAAATATTTTAGAGCAGTAAACATGTCAGGCTAAATCATTTTAATGAATCATTCACTTCTGCAGTCTTTGTTTTTTTATAAACACTAATATTTTTCCAGTTTAAAACAGAATCTTTGATTATATTTTCTGCTGGAGATACTGCTGTCCTTAAAAACAAAACAAAAATTAATAAAAAAAAAAAAGAAATCTTATTTATACCTTAGGAACGGGATAGCGGAAAATTTTCATGGTTTTAAAACCTTGACTTTCCCAAACCATGGTATACCTTGAGTCGTCCCATGCCAAATATATATATATATATATATATATATATATATATATACGAGCAATTCCGTGCAAATGTCAACCTTGCCATGAAGAAAATTAAGTTTTCCTCAAAATACCGAAACCGTTTTTTTTTTTTTTTTTGGACAAGTATTTTACAGTACAAACTAATCTATTTGATTTAGCAAAGTCATACAAGTGGCAACTTCACATTTGTCACATCCATAATGACACTTTTTTTCTCTTAAATGTGAAAATATTAAATAAATAAAATCAATCATGTTTATTCTACAGTGAGCGACTCTTCTCCTTAAGATTAGCATTGTTTCTTTTGGGTTGTGCAGATTAATTGACAGAATTTCTACAAAGCATGTTGTATGCAGACGTTTTTTTGCTCGCATCCATAACGCATGTTTATTTTCCTCATTTAAAGTATAAAACATGTCTACAGATTGATCATTTCTGCTCCCTTAACTCTGTGGCCAGTTGTTCTGGAAAATATAAACGGCTGTTTCAGTATAATGTTATCATGTGCTTTCACTGTGAGTTTATGTTTTGAGTTTTTACTGCAAATGTCACATCCATAACACTGGAATTGCTCATATATATATATATATATATAGGCCTGTCATGATATCTGTTTTTTGTTGTATGATATATCACAAGTATTGTGATAAACGAATGATTACAGCTCCAACATAAAAACAAAAGATTTGTCTACATAAAATGCAAACTTTCAAGACTGCAGCCTTCTGATGATGCTGTTATTCGCCTTTCTGTCTGCATCCCTGTAATTAAGGGTCATATTTCACTCATGTAAATTATTAAATTGTATTACTGTAACCAATGTATATCATGACATAAAGAATAGCACATAATATAAAACCTTTTCTGCATATATCAGCATATTGCACAGGCCTAATTCAATTCTTAAAGTTTCTTCATATGTAGAAAAATGAAGTAAACTGGTAACCATCGACCTCCATATTTGTTTTTCTGCTGTGGATGCCATTAGTTACTGGTTTACAACATTCTTCAGAATATCTTCTTTAGTGCTGAACAGCATACAGAAACTCATGAAGGTTTATAAGCACTTGAGGGAGAGTAAATAGTGAGTAAATGTTGATTTTTGTGTGATCTGCCCCTTTACCTGCTGAGTTAGTTTCAGCATCGATATCGCAGTGTCTGGTATATAATGCCAGACAATATAATATCATCACAACGCAAGTGCACTCTTCCAAAAAACACATCATACTTTATTCTTAAGAATATTTCATTTAATTATTGTCATTTTAATGATTTAATAATCAGACATTGGAGTCAGAATGTGAAAACACATCCTAAATAAATAATAATAAAGATAACAAGAAAAGTGCAAGATGAAGAGAAACAGAGGCTGTGATATCTGCTGCCAGATCTGTTTTCAGTCGTCAGACACCCACATATAAATATACTATTATAGGAAATACTACAGTGTATTTAACCATGCTGGCTCCTCCAATAGAGATAGAGATGTTGCACATCAGCTCAGATGTTTTTAGGTATGGCGATATATATATATATATATATATATTACATCACCAAAAATGATTGAGGTGGTGTTCATGTGTTGTGTGATTAGTCCATATATTGGCCATTATAAATGGTTGTCAGGATATGAGCTGAGTTATGTGGTCATATGTGATTTCTGTCATTAAAGTGTGTGTGTGTGTGTGTGTGTGTGTGTTCAGCATGTCCCAGCAGGCCGCTCTGCGTTTCCCCCCGGCTGTCGCTCCTCCTGCTGCTCCGCCCGCCCGCCGCCAGCCTCTGCTGAGCAGCCCAGTGCCGCCCTACACCCTGATGAGGAGTCCTCCGCCTGCTGCACGCCCGCCCTTCACACGCCTGCCCTTTGACCCCAGCGTGCCCCCGCCCATGGGCACACCGCCGCTGCAGGTGCATTCACAGGTACAGCACGCTTGCTCACACTTGAGGCAGAGTAAATAGTGAGTAAATGTGTTGTTTGTGAGAAATATTCCTTTAATCTGTGATTCGGGATGGGAAGTGAGGTTCTGACTGACACTGTGGCTCTTCTGCTCCTGAAGAGACCCCCATTCATGCCTCCGCCCGGAGGATCCATGCCTCCTCCACCCGGCATGATCTTCCCTCCAGGAATTCCTCCGTCAGTGGCTCCTGCTCCAACTCCTGCTCCGGCTCTGGCTCCTGCTCCCGCTCCCACTCCTTTGGTCTCCACTGAGGAGATCTGGGTGGAGAACAAGAGTCCGGAAGGAAAGGTATGGCTGTGGGTCTGCTTCATTAAAGGCCCTGTCAATTTCTAGAGTACTCAGCTGACTCTGTTTTACTAGAACTTCTATGTTAAGCTGTTTTGACACTATCTACATTGTAAAAGCCCTATAGTAATAAAGATGAATGGCAAAGTTTAAATATGTGTGTTTTTTTAGGAAGATGTTATTAGTCTTTATTATATAGTATTAGTCTGTTAGTCTTCAGGATATCTATGTGGCAAACAGTGGCAAAATTCACATGTAGATGATACAAGCATCCACGTCTCTTTCACCTAAATGGATATATATATATATATAATTTATTTTTATATATATATTAGTTTCTAATAGAATCTGACCAATCAAATGCTCTCCAGTGTCTGCCATGCCCCGCCCCCTCTCACCTGCTGTTCATTTGATGCACTTGAGCACTATGAAAGTGTCAGTAACCCCCTGCTGGTGTGTATTATTCTTACAGGTGTATTATTATAACGCACGCACCCGAGAGTCATCCTGGACCAAGCCGGAGGGGGTGAAGGTGATCCAGCAGGCAGATCTGTGTCCGCTGATGATGAGCCAGGCGGCTGTGGCGGCGGCGGGTGGAGGATCCACAGCTCCGTCCGTCAGCATCCCAGCAGCATCAGCAGTCAGCGGCTCCACAAACACACTCGCGGCCCCCAGCGCCGGCCCCGCCGTGGTCCCCAGCATCACTGCAGCATCCCCTCTGCTGCCCACACCTGCCACAGGTCACCTTCTGATGAACATATCATGCTGTAATATAATAAACATACATGCGTAATGATATTAACAAATCACCCAACACTCCTTGATTTGTTTACTCGTATACTTTATATAGATTTATATGAAGTAATAAAACTGAATGTATTAAATCCATTTTAAAATGTGGTTGATATTATTAGCCCCCTTAAGAAACAGTTCTTTCTGACTATACTGTTGTCCAATGACTTTGCTAATTACCCTAGTGAAGCTTTTACATGTCACTTTAAGCTGAATGCTAGTGTCTTGAAGAATATCTTGTCTAATATTATGTGCTGTCATCATGGCAAGCACTAATGACATTAAATTATTAAAACTATTATCAAAGATTGTCCACTGAACAGGACTGTGAGTTTGTCTCTGTACCGCAGCATCACAGCAGTGTTTATTGTAGGTGTGCTGTGTTGAGTGTGTGTTCTTGTGTTTGCGTCTGCAGTTCCAGATGTGGTGGAGATGCCGTCAGTCGTGACCTCTGCCCCCAGTTCCATGCCAACCCCAATGCCAGCTGTCAATCAACCAACGGTCTCGGTCGCCATGACAACAGGACCACCCACTCTGCCTGTGGCGCTGTCCCACACCGTCCCGCAGCCGGCCACTACAATCCCAGGATTCCCTCCGGTGATGGTGCCGCCGTTCCGGGTGCCGCTGCCTGCCATGCCCATCCCACTGCCTGGTGCGTCTGACCTCGGACCGCTGCTGCTCTCTCTCTCTCTCCTGTCTGTCTCTCTGTCTTCTCTCACCATCTAAACTCATCTGTAGATTAACATGAGAGAGAAGCAGCCTCTGTCTTCATTTACTCTGTGATCAGTTGAGTCTTAAAGGGACAGTTCACCCAAACACGTCATTTCTGCTGTAGTTTATTTACTCTTTACTGATTTTAATCTGCGATACAACAAACATCATATCATAATAATGATGCATATCATCATACAGTACCAGTTCTGTAAATAATATAATAGTTATTTTCTTTATTATTGTTTTATTAAATTATATTCATTTACATATTAGTGCTGGGCACAGATTAATCGCAGTTAATCACATCCAAAAACACAGTTTGTTTTGACAGAGAAAAAAATATTTAACAAAGAAAAAACAATTCAAAGGAGGCGAATAATTCAGATTTCAGTGGTATATTGACCACATGTAAAGGACTATTTTATTTTTTATTTGTGTTTTAAAGTACTCAGAAAACTTCTCATTCATATGTGATCATATTTCTCACTTAATTCAGAACTTAATTTAATATTTATATTAAATATATGTATATTTACTATTAATCTAAAACACTTTTTTTTTTAAATGAATGATTACAGGTCCAGCATAAAAACAAAAATCTGTCTGAATAAAATGCAAACTCTCAAGACTGCAGCTTTCTCATGATGCAGTTATTTGTATATCGCACTCACGTAAATTATGACCTATTACTGTAAACAGTGTATATATGACGTAAATGATAGATAGCCCACGATGTTAATCAATAGAGCTTTTCTGCACATATCAGCATATTGCTCAGGCCCAATTCACACCTTTAAGTATTTCATCTGTTAAGCACAAAACAAGATAGTAAGAAAATGTGGTGCACCGGTAATCATTGACCTCCATAGTATTTGTTTTTCTACTATGGAAGTGAATGGTTTCAGCATTCTTCAGAATATCTTCTTTAGTGCTGAACAGAATACAGGAACTCATGAAGGTTTATGAGCACTTGAGGGAGAGTAAATGTTTGTGTGAACTGCCCCTTTACCTGCTGTGTTAGTGAGGCCTGTAGATGGCAGTGTTTTCATGCGGAGTGTTTCCAGGATCTCCTGGAGCTGTAGATGACGTATGTTTGTGTGTTTTCCAACACTCTGCTTGCTTATACGCTCTTCCAGGTGTAGCAATGATGCAGATAGTCAGCTGCCCCTATGTAAAGACTATCTCTCCTACCAAAAACGGTAATTCCCTCCCCGTTATGGCATGTTAGTAACTGTTGTGCATCTTTTCATTTATCTACAATTCATTCAGTCAGATCACCCACCTGCTATTGAAGATTGTAGTGAGCAACAGCTTGTTTTTAAAGTAATGATATATATATATATATATATATATATATTAGTGCTGGCTAAGATGAATCACATCCAACATAAACGTTTGTTTTGACATAATATACATTATACACACAAACAAAACATAGATCACATTGAAATTTAAATGTATGTATAATTTAGGTCATTCATTTATTTTATTTTCAGCTCAGTTCCTTTATTAATCAGGGGCCACCACAGCGGAATGAACCACCAACTATTCCAGCATATGTTTTACACAATGGATGCCTTTCCAGCTGCAACCCAGTACTGGGAATCACCCATACACACTCATTCTCACACACACACTCATTTTAGTTGATCAGTTCCCCTATAGCGCATGTGTTTGGACTGTGGGGGAAACCGGAGCACCCGGAGGAAACCCACACCAACACGGGGAGAACATGCAAACTCCACACAGAAACACCAACTGACCCAGCCGAGACTCAAACCAGTGACCTTCTTGCTGTGAGGCGACAGTGCTAACCACTGTGCCACCGCACCGCCCTTATTTACATATATATTTTAAATCTAGATATAAAGCAAATTTTTCTCTCATATTTGCATGCATATGTGTGTGTGTGTTTTGTATATATGTAATAAATATACACACTAGACACACACATTAATAATCTCGAAACAAACTTTTAATTTTTGTGCGATTAATTTGTGCCCAGGGCTTGTTTATTTCACGTCTATATTTATTTATACAGTACAGGCACATTTTGATAAATGTATGTATGTAGATACCTGTGGCCATAGACTCATTCACATGACACTCGTCTCCATTGGGAAACCACCAAGCTGATCCTATCCACACACACTCTTGGCATTGATCTTTCTGCTTTTGAATAATGTTTTTCTGGAATAATTAGTCTATTTTTTCCCCGTGGTAAACGTTTAACAGTGGAACCACAGGCACTAGAGAGTCCAGTAGATAATAACTGCTGAAGATCTTTGTTCTAACCGTGCATTTTTTATTTGTTTAATGCTTTTTATGTGATATTGTGGTGGTTTTGTCTTTGCATGCTTTAGTTTTATGTTTAAAGGGCCAGTTCACTCAGAAAAGACGATTCTGTCATTTACTCTAACAGTTTGAGCTAAAACCAAACTCAGAATCTCACTAATGCATGAGTAAAATAATGAAGAATTCAGACAATCTTCTGTATATTAAAATACTTTTTTTACATAAAGTTAGAACTTTGTTTTTATTTATATATATATATATATATACTAAAGATGCTTTTTTAAAAATAATTTCGCTCTTGACTGATGTTTCTAAACTGCTCATTAATTCTGAAAATGACTATTATTTTTGCTAATTGTTATATGATTTCTGTTTTTCAGTGACTTTTGTTAGTTTCGTTTAGTTTTATTTTAGTTAATGAAAGCATGCTTTGAACAATAGTTTTCAATCAATAACCTTGATTGAGTGTGAACTGACCCTTTAATTAAATGTTTATTTTCTGATATTTCATGCAATATTTAAAGAGATGTATAATGGGCATCTTGTCCTGTTGTTTGGAGTAGAGACCTGCATGGGACGGATTTTTGAGTCCCGTTCCTGCAAAACTATACATGTTTCTGTCCTGCTCCCATCCAAACAGAAATGGTCAGACAGAAATCATTTTGATTTCTGAAGCATTTGTCCTGATGCTGCTTCAGAATGTGCACCTTCAGCAATGCTCAAACACTGAACATAGGTTTTCATTGTTTCTAAGTATTTCTCAATAATAAATTGGTAACATTTTCAACATTTAGCTAATAAATAAATAGAAAATAAATTAACTAATTTAATGTAAAAAAATAAAAAAATCACTGGTAAAAAAGTTGTTTTTCTGCAGTAGATAAATAGCTGAATGTTTGTTTTTAGTATATTAGTTTGAAGATATTTTCAGTCCCTGTAATAATCGTATTCTCCCACAACCCGCATATACACCTTCAAATTCTGTCCCGTGAGGAAAGCAGGTCTCAACACTGCCGAGCATGCTTTCCTTACTCAGAGTTCATCTTGTTTCCAAATATCTAAACGTTCTTACATCAATAAGCATTTCTAGACTAGTACAATAGTGTCTTAGTTTCAGAAATGAACTGATTGAGTTTTATTTAAAATTGATATTTTAAACAAGCAAAATAATCTGCCAATAGCGTACGCAGAATAATCCTGTTTTTCCTTTTGACATTAGATTATTCTGCTCGTCTAGAAAATGCTTGTTGATTCAGGAATGTTTAGATGTTTGCACTAGAGACAGGATAAAAGCTCTGAGTGCCAGAAGCGTGTTCAGCAGTGTAGTTGTGAGCACTGATGTTTGATGAGTTGTTGATAGTCAGTCATTGCTCCCTGATTGGGATTTAGTCAGTGTGTTGAACACAGTCTGATGTGTGTTTGTGTGTTATATGAAGGGATGCTCCCTAGCATGGCTCCGCCTTTAGTACCCATGATGCCCCCTCAGATGACCATTGCTGGACCTGCGGGACTGCCCGGAGCTCTGGGCACATCAGACTGGGCCGAGTTTAAAACTCCGGAGGGAAAGTCTTATTATTATAACAAACACACACAGGAGACCACCTGGGACAAACCGGAGGAGCTCCGGGACACAGGTTAGAGACACTAAACACACACATCCTCCGCTTTCAGTGTTGGTGTAGAGTTTTTGGTCTCTCTTTATATCTGGTGGCCTTCACTAATATGAGCTTACAGTGAAATTAGTCATTCATTACAATCTACTTATTGTGTAAATACATGATTTTACATCACACTTACGCTTGATTAAATATAGGTCATTCATTTCTGTAAGTATGTTTATATTTACACTGTTGACATGACTTACACCTTAACCACAGGTCTCAAACTGGACTTCTGGAGGACCGCAGCTCTGCACAGTTTTGCTCCAACACCAATCAAACACAGCGGATCAACTAATCAAGCTGTTCCAGACCACTAGAGACCATAAAGCAGGTGTGAGATGGAGGTGTTGGAGCTAAACTATGCAGAGCTGCAGCCCTCCAGGGGGCTGTTCCAGAAAGCAGGTTATGTGACATACCCGGGTAAGTTTGAGAGTATGTAGGTGGATAACCTCAACTTTGGTTCCAAAATCGGAGGTAACTTCTGGGTATGTTAAGTAGCCATAGCAACTTACTCTCTGAAGATAACCTGCTCCGGAGCAGGTTATGTTCAGAGAGTAAGTTGCTATGTTTCAGAGTTTGTCTGTTTTAAAGAGTTTACTGAGCATTGCGTGCTCTTTTGATGGGAATATTTATGGATGTGGACACACAGATACAAGTTTTTTCGTTGTGAGAGGGTTATAAGTGCATAGTTTTTTTCATAACCAAATTCATAATGTCAATGTATTTAACAAACCTTTTTGAAATCAAATGTGACAAACCGCGGGTCTGCGCTTACCATAAAAAACATTCAGTGCAGCTCTTTGTATTCGCGTCAGGGCATTTTAGGCAACTGTACAATATGGCAGTAGGACCACCTGTACAGTATGCCTGACACTGAACTGTTTTTTACACTTTTGTACAGTTCCTTGGTCATACATTACTGCGTGTCATTACAGAGATGATTCAGAGCACGGTAATAGAGTAGTGGACAGTGCGTCGATAAAAAACAACGGAGCGCACAGCGGAGCGAGTTCGAATCTCACATAAAGATCGTGTGTTTTTTCTCTTCTTCTGCACCCTCACATTTCTGTATAATATTATAAGTGGCAGCTTTGTCTTTTGTAGGAAAATATATCTATAATTTAAGATATAGGACGTCGTTCTTATATATATATACATTCACGCACACACACCTACATTTTTTAATATAATTTTTTTTCAGGGTTTCTAAATGCTATTGTGTGCATTAATTGCAGCCGATTTTAAAGCTCCATCAGTCACTAAAGGACACTGATAATATAAAATTTGTCCAAAGTATAAGTGTGCAGGTACAACTTAATTTTCTATCCTTAATCTTTTGGTGTTTCAACTATTAAACTCATTACTGCTTCCACTTACCAGCTCATCACACACCCCACCTCATCACTATGTTGAGGCTAAATGGCTGATTTTCAGGAAATAATGATTCAAGTGTATTACACAAATATAGTAAAAAAAAAAAAAAAAAACTATAAAGCAAATGTTGCTTAACACAATGTTTATTTTTATTATATTTGTATTATACAATAGAATCATAGGCACTACATTGTTACTTGCTGGAGGACAAAAGATACCCTTTTCTGCCTTATACGATGACGCGTACCTGCAGCCTGACCCAGAGGAAATCTCAGTGACCCAAGCAGACAAAACAGATGGAAGAGTGCTAAAAAAATATATATATAATTAGTCAAAAAACTATGTTTACTCAAATAGTTTGGTCTGTTCATTTCTTAATTTCCTGAAATAAAATGAATGATTTTGTACACTGCTTTACACACGCACCTTTAAACGTGTAACATATTTTTCATATACATTTCTCACCTTAAGGTGATGCTCATGTGACTTTATCTTTGAAGATGGACCTTATACAGCTACTTTAGAATTTAAATATGTAGATAAAAGATTTTGTGATCCAAGAGTAATATTCAAATATGGAAAAGTGCAGAAAATTCTTACACTGCTTGTTAGTTGAGGCAGAAGGAACTTCGTCTGCATGCAAAATAAAAAGAACCTAAAGCTATCTGACAACAATCACTTACAACAGTGACAGAGTGTGTGGTTTAAGTCAAAAACTCAACCACTGAAAAGCCTGTATTATAGGACACAGCAGTTAGACAGGCCTCTTTCTATTAGCTGCATGTCAGAAAGCATATTCTAGAGTGTTAAATAAAGAGCTCCAGTAATTAAATATTACCTTTTATAATAATGTTTCTGTGTTTAATGACTTTGGACAGAGTTCTAGCTCCAGAAAGATTACAATTTCTATAAGCCTTATTAGTCAATACACATATTGTGGCCTTAAGAAATTAATGGCAAGAAAAATAAATGCATGAATGGTTACACAACATACTCAAAAAGGATGTTAAAGAGTAATTTAATTTATCATTACAATAAAATGGAGGGTGGCATGTGTAATTTAATCAATTAATAAATTTTCTTATTATTTATTTTTTATTTTCTTATCTATTTCTTATTCTTTATTTCTTTCCTTCGTTGAAGCAGATGTGTAATCTCTGTGTTTAAAACCTCCACCTTCGCCTCTGTAAAGTGCGTTGCCCTTTTTTTCTCACTGTGACTTTCTATGGTGACTCGTGAATTCGGCGATCTACTGAAAATGCCTTCAGGTGTGTGCCGTGCACGCGCATTAACCCGCGGTTATCTTCAGGAGGTTGATTTAACTAACTCTTGTCACCTGTTTCGGAACCAACATACTCGCGGTAAGCAGGTTTTGGGTAAATCAACCGAGAGTTTAGGTTTTAGCAGATGGTAAGTTAACCCAGCTTTCTGGAATACCCCCCAGGAATTGAGTTTGAGACCCCTGAGTTTGAAAAGTAGAACTTAACTTTCATATTTAGGAAAGAATAGTTTGTAGATATTTTTTATATTTATTTCAGAATATAATTAAATATATAAAATATATTAATGCATTTTAAAATAATGTTAAAATATAATTAGATATTTTATATATATATATATATATATATATATATATATATATATATATATATATATATATATATATATATATATATATTATTTTATATTTATTTTTTCCCAGACAAAGACAACATATCTAGTCTTAAGATTATGGATGGATGCATAGATAGATGGATAGATGGATGGGTAGATGCATGCATGGATAGATGGGTGGATGGAAGGATGGATGCATGCATGCAAAGATGGATGGATGAATGCATGGATGGATGCATAGATGGATGGATGGATGGATGGATGGATAGATAGATAGATAGATAGATAGATAGATAGATAAATAGATACATAGATGGATGGATGCATGCATGCATGGATAGATGGATACATGGATGGATGGATGCATAGATGGATGGAGGCATTCACACATGGATAGATAATTGGATACATGGATGGATGGATGGATGGATGGATGGATGCATACTGGATAAATGGATGGATGCATGCTTGCATTGATGGATGGATGGATGGATAGATAGATGGGTGAATGCATGGATGGATGGATAGATGGATTCATGGATGTATGGATGGATGGATGCATACTGGATAAATGGATGGATGCATGCTTGCATTGATGGATGGATGGAGGGATGCATGGATGGATGGATGAATGGATAGATAGGTGGGTGAATGCATAGATGGATGGATGGATGGATGCATGCATGAATGGATGCATAGATGGACTGATGAATGCATAGATGGATGCAGGGATGGACGGATAAATGAATGGATGCATAGATGGATGGATGGGTGGATGCATGGATGAGTGGATGCATGGATAGATGGAGATAAATCTAATCTTGAAAATGAGTCATTTTTATGGAACCCGTGTGATGATGAGGACATTAGATCTCATACAGTGTGTGTGTGTGTGTGTGTGTGTTTCAGAAAAGGAGAGTGAGAAGGTGATGGACTCAGTGGAGGAGATGATGGAGGCTGAAATCCTGAGCATGGAGGATGGAAGCCCACAGATCGACCCGCCCAAAGAGCAGAAGGAGGTGTGTGTGTGTGTGTGTGTGTTGCTGTCTTATCAATAGTGTGTTTATCAAGAGTGTGTGCTGTGTGCCGTCATACGTGTGTGTGTTGCTCTCAGGAGCTGAAGGAGGAGGAGATGACGGAGGAGCAGAAGGCTGCTAAGAAAGCGAAGCCCGTGGCGACGACACCCATTCCTGGCACACCGTGGTAAAACTCTGATCATTACTGGCTCACTGACTGATGAACACTGGAGGAGCTGGCTTATCTACAGCCAGTGTGTGTGTGTGTGTGTGTGTGTGTGTGTGTGCAGGTGTGTGGTGTGGACGGGTGATGAGCGTGTGTTCTTCTATAACCCCACCACTCGTCTCTCCATGTGGGAGCGGCCGGAGGATCTGCTGGGTCGAGCCGATGTAGATAAAGCCATTCAGGCTCCTCCGCACAAGAGAGGCCTGGACAACAGCCACAGACTGGGTAAACACACACACACACACACACACACACAAACAGGCCTGCTCACATCATTTAAACTTGACTTAAACCTGAAAGCACAAGGACTCATGGGGACTTTATTGAGATCTCCACAGGTAAACATGCTGTAAAGCACACAGTATGAAGTGTTTTTAATGTGAAGTGCGGAGTGTGTTGTGCTGTGTGTGTTGAGTTCAGGGGGAGACGAGAGAATATACAGTCTGTACACTACAAACATCACTGCAGATTAGAGGATGACAGAATTTCTGGAATCTCATGGGTCACTGGATTCCTGTGGCGTTCCCGCAGGATGGGAGTCATCTTTGCTTTTAATGACGGGATTGGGACGGTACAGGATAAAGTAGTTATCGTGGGCAGACGGGAGCGGGAACAAACTGAAAGGGAAGATGACAGAAAAATGCACCGCCATTTTGTAGTTTTCTTTTAATACAGTTACAGTGTAATGCAATTAAACACAAACTACACGACCCAGAAGCCATCAGTGCTGGAGGGAGCAGACAGCCGCAGAGAAACTGATGTGGGGAAAAATGATTTGCAGCACAAAGTCAGAGGTGATGACATGTCCATTACATTTACAGAACTATCCGGAAAATCAAAAATATCAAAGAAGTTAATGAGATTAAACTGACGGTGATAGCACGCCGTATGCTGCTACTAAAACATGCTTAATCTTAGTCAAGTACAGCAGTGATTCAGGGACGAGCACTCACACACTTGTTAAGTCTCGTCTGACTGACAAAATTGCTCGCAACCGTCATAGGTTCAGTGTTTTCATCCAAGGTATGAATTATATTGAAACTACAAGAAATATTGTATGCATGTACTGTGTGTGTGTGTGTGTGTGTGTGTGTGTATATATATATATATATATATATAGTTGAAAGCAGAAGTTTCCATAGACTGTATAGAAAGGCACTTTACCATTTAAACAAAGTCAGATGTTAGGATTTAGGTTGGTCAGGATTATCAGGTGTGTTTCTGTTGTGCTTTATAGCAGAATAATGAGAGAGATGTATTTAGAGGAATTGTTCTAACTCTTCTTGAAAGTCAAGTTTACACACAATAAGATTATTCTGCCTCTGGAAATGCTCAGATGATGATGTCAGGGGTTTGGAGGTTTCTGATTGGCTGATTGACAACATTTGAGTTAATGTGAGGCACAACTGTAGAATAGTACTGAAGGAAAAGCTCAAACACACTGCTTCCCTGTGTGACAACATGAGAAAATCAACAAGCCAGAATCAACAACAAAGCCAGATTACCATTAGCTGAATGACACTGGGGAAAGACTGATGTGTGGAGACATGTGCTGTGCTCTGATGGAGCTGAGATTGAACTGTTTGGCCATAATGAGCAGTGTTACATCTGGAGGACAAAGGGGAAACACACAAGCCTAGAACACCATCCCAACTGTGCAGTATGGGGGCGGCAGCATCATGTTGTGGGGCTGTTTTGCTGCAGGAGGGACTGGTCCACTTCACAGCATAGATGGCATCATGAAGACAGAACATTATGGAGAAATACTGAAGCAACATCTCAACACATCAGCCAGGACATTACAACTTGCCCACAAATGGCTCTTCCAGACAGTCCATGACCCTGAGCACACTGCCAAATGAGGTCAAATGTGCTTTAAGGACAACAGAGTGAATGTTTTGGAGTGGCCATCACAAAGCCCTGATCTCAATCCTATAGAGAATGTGTGAGCAGAGTTGAAAAAACTTGTGTGAGCAAGACAGCCTACAAATCTGACTCAGTTACAGCAATTCTGCAGGAGGAATGGGCCAAAACTCCTGCAAACTATTGTGAGAAGCTTGTGGAAGGAGACCCAAAACATCTGACCAAAGTTATACAGTTTAAAAGCAAAGCTAAACCACACCAAGGAAATGTGTGTACACTTCTGACTGTCGAGAAATTAATATCAAATTCTCTCATTATTCTGGCATTTAGCAAATGTAAATCATTTAGGTAATCCTAACAGACCTAAAATAGAAACATTCAGGATGATTTACCATCAGACATTTAAAAAAAATGGTTATGCTGCTTTTTTGTAGAATGTATGTTAACTTCTGCTTTCAACTGTGTGTATGTATGTGTATATATATATATATATATATGTCATCCTCTACTACAGATATAGAGAGAGACCATCGAGATATTAATCCAGATCTGTGTGTGTTTATCACTGTCTAACCATTGTGCTGGTGTTGTGTGTGTTCTGTCCAGCGCTGGTTAAAGACGAGCAGGAGTTTCCTGTTTCTGAAGACGCAGCAGATGAGGAGCCCAGCAAAGCCAAGAGGCGGAAGTGAGAGTCGCTCTAGATTGTGTTCTCTATCTGATATAAACATGCACAGTGTTGGTGTGGGTTTCCTCCGGGTGCTCCGGTTTCCCCCACAGTCCAAACACATGCGCTATAGGGGAACTGATCAACTACACTGGCCGTAGTGTATGAGTGTGTGAATGAGTGTGTATGGGTGTTTCCCAGTATTGGGTTGCAGTTGGAAGTGCATCTGCTGTGTAAAACACATGCTGAAATAGTTGGCGGTTCATTCCGCTGTGGCGACCCCTGATGAATAAAAGGACTAATCTCAAGGAGAATGAATGGAGTAATTAAAATAGTCACACATACTGATGAATGAGTTTATCCGCTAAATCTGTTCATGTTGTACTTTATTCTAATCAGATATGAAGTTCATGCCACTCAGATGTGCACATTGTCAAGATGTCCATCAAGCATATTCCTTATGTGATGATCTGAAATGCACGTACACAGTTTGATGGAAACAGCACTATTGTGATTATGGAAAGCCAGAGATGTTTTGATGCTTACTGACAGTGATGTGACTATACCTGTTTGCACTCACCTGTGTGTGTGTGTGTGTGTGTGTGTGTTAGGGTGGAGGAGAAGATGGAGCTGGACCCAGAGAAGGAGGCAGCGATGGAGGCAGAGCTGAAGGCGGCACGAGAGAGAGCTGTGGTTCCTCAAGAAGCGCGAATCAGTCAGTTTAAGGAGATGCTGCTGGAGCGAGCAGTAAGACACACACACACAAACACACACACACACACACATACACACGCACACTACTGCTCACACTTCTTTATTTTAATTAAGAACACACTTATGAAGCCAAATCTGTCAAAAACAGATCCAGCATGAGGCGAAACAACACAATCTGCTTTAAACAGAATCGCTCCACTACCAGACTAACCTGACGTTTGGGAATCGCAGTGTGGTATTTAAACCATTTTGAGATGGAGTAATTGTTCAGTTAAATGCATGTGGTGCTGGTGTTATCATCAGTTTTTATATTATTTAAATACATAAATGAATAATGGTATAAATTAGAGCACAGTTCAGCCAAAAGGGGAAATTCTGTCATCATTTGCAGTAAACCCTGAGTTCCTGTTGAACACAAAGGACGATATTATAAAGTATTCTTGTTCTCACTATGGAAGTCAGTGTCTGCATTTTCCAGCGTTCTTCAGAATATCCTGCTTTGTGTTCAACAGAAATACGTTTAGATACACTTGAATGCGAGTAAATGAGGAGGAAATGTTCATATTTTGGGTGAACTGCCTGTTTTACATCTACTTTATACTGATATACCTACAGAATCAACACTGATAGTGCTTCTTAACCAAATGCCAGAGAGATGTGTCCGGGTGCGGTTCATGCTGTGAGATTTATATATTTATTTTCTGGTCTGAAAGGTTAAACCCATCATTGGTTTTAAGCTTTGAGTGCTCATTAAAATACTCGGCTGACATTTCCAGGTGATCAGAGCAGCGCTGATCAGTGTGTTCCCGCATCTCCTCCTCCCCGTTTCTGCTATGAGATATAAATCAACGTGTATATATGTCACACATCTGACGGAGATCCTTAAACTAATCTGCAAATCCTCATGCCAAACACTCTTGGTTGAAAGACGGAACTGTTTTTACATTTGGGAAATAATTAAATGCTGCATTAGAGATTTATTTCATATGGTGTGAAATACTGTGCTGTTAGATCTTTGTTGTTTTGAACACACTACTGATCAGAAAACACACACTACTGATCAGAAAACACACTATAACACACACTACTGATCAGAAAACACACTATAACACACACTACTGATCAGAAAACACACACTAACACACTACTGATCAGAAAACACACTATAACACACATTACTGATCAGAAAACACACAAACACACACTACTGATCAGAAAACACACTATAACACACACTACTGATCAGAAAACACAAAAACACACAATACTGATCAGAAAACACACACTAACACACACTACTGATCAGAAAACACACACTAACACACTCTACTGATCAGAAAACACACTATAACACACACTACTGATCAGAAAACACACTATAACACACACTACTGATCAGAAAACACACACTAACACACTACTGATCAGAAAACACACACTACTGATCAGAAAACACACTATAACACACACTACTGATCAGAAAACACACAAACACACACTACTGATCAGAAAACACACTATAACACACACTACTGATCAGAAAACACAAAAACACACAATACTGATCAGAAAACACACACTAACACACACTACTGATCAGAAAACACACACTAACACACTCTACTGATCAGAAAACACACACTAACACACACTACTGATCAGAAAACACACACTACTGATCAGAAAACACACGCTAACACACACTACTGATCAGAAAACACACACTAACACACACTACTGATCAGAAAACACACACTAACACACACTACTGATCAGAAAACACACACTAACACACACTACTGATCAGAAAACACAACACTAACACACACTACTGATCAGTAAACACACACTAACACACACTACTGATCAGAAAACACATACTACTGATCAGAAAACACACTATAACACTCTACTGATCAGAAAACACACACTAACACACACTACTGATCAGAAAACACATACTACTGATCAGAAAACACACTATAACACTCTACTGATCAGAAAACACACACTAACACACACTACTGATCAGAAAACACACTATAACACACACTACTGAGCCAAAAACACACTATAACACACACTACTGAGCCGAAAACACACACTAATGATCAGAAAACACACACTTAAATTTTTAAAGAATAAACCAGCCGTATAAAATAGAGAGATTCAGATTTTGTGACAGTATTTAATTATTTTCTCCATGTTTATGCTGTTGGTTTGTTGTTTTAAATTGTATATAGTTGTTGTATAGTGACCTTAAGTTCATAAATGTGTTATTATTATTATTAATTATTATTATAATGATTAGGATCTGCAGTTCAGCGCAGCCTCAGACTCTACAGCTGAATGAAAACAGATATAAACCCCGGCCTGTATCCGCAGCTCTGCCCTTTGCCTCGCCGGCCTGTGAAGAGATGAAAGTCAGATTTCAGTCTGATCTTCAATGCAGGACCTTCCTCCTGTATTCAGCCGTGCATACAGGCCTCGCTAATTAAACGCTCTCGTTATGCCAATTAGCGGTGTGTGTTGAAGCAGGACTCCTGTGTGTTATTTATCAGGGCTGAGGATGAAAAGCGGCGGCTCACACACACTGTGACTCCAGCACCGCAGGAGCAGAAACACCCGCTGAACACACACACACACACACACACACACACACAGTCACACACACACAGGCACACTCTCCTGTCATTATAATGACCCTAATTAATGGTTCAAATCTCTCTCTCTCTCTCTCTCTCTGTTTTATCAGGTCTCTGCCTTCTCTACCTGGGAGAAGGAGCGCCATAAGATTGTGTTTGATCCGCGTTATCTGCTCCTCAACCCTAAAGAGAGGAAACAGGTAGAGCTTTTGGTTTGGTTTTGGTGGGTTTATTAAAATATATTTTATATGCATAAATTTAATAATTAGATCATTAACACAAATAACAGCAAGCAAAAGGAAGCAGGTGAGAAACACTCCGTGTGAACATTGATGATCGGGCGCACACGAGACCTATTGATAATCTATTAAAGCCAAAGCAAAAGAAGCTTACAAAGAATCTCGAGCTCTCGACAGGAGCAGGACTGTGGGTGCACGAGCATCGCATTTCTTCAGTCTTTCAAAGAGAAGCAGTTGCATTTCCGGCATGGTTGCTTAGCGCAAGAAATCGACAGCGCGCAAGCCTTTAAAACACTCGCATACATCACATCAGCTGTGCGCGCGTCAGTCTGCGTCTCACCGTGTGCGTGATTCACTCATTCATTATTGACTTCTCGAGTCTAAGATCACATTTACACACATATTGACAAGCTATCATTGTAATCTTTAGTGACCAGCCAGCACTAGCAATTCAAAACAATTTAACCAGCCAAAGAGGCTAGTGGGAGCAGCTGTCTAGCCCGGCACTGGTGACAACTACCTGCATTTGGCGGGTTGGAAACGCAACTGCTGCGATCGGTTCTCTTTAAAAATAGACTGGATAAAAAGTGATGCGCGTGCACAAGAGGTCTGCATTCCCGCGGCTTTATTCGCAATAAATTTCCGAATAAAGTGCAGCAGCGGTCGGTAACAGGTTTAATTTGGGACAGGAGCGGGCTGTCTAGCAATATCGTATGTATGTGTGTAAATGAAATAGCACGATGCTGTGTTCAGCTTGTTTGTTGCTGTGTGTATTTGTGTATGCGCGCGTGAATGAGCGAGAGAGAGCTTTGCCTGTGTGTGTGCTTGGTGCTTATGTGTGCGTGTTAGTGCGCGCGAATGAGAGAGAGAGCTTTGTCTGTGTGTGTGCTTGGTGCTTATGTGTGCGTGTTAGTGCGCGCGAATGAGAGAGAGAGCTTTGTCTGTGTGTGTGCTTGGTGCTTATGTGTGCGTGTTAGTGCGCGCGAATGAGAGAGAGAGCTTTGTCTGTGTGTGTGCTTGGTGCTTATGTGTGCGTGTTAGTGTGCGCGAATGAGAGAGAGAGCTTTGTCTGTGTGTACTCAGGGTGGTTTTCGGTTTTGTTTCCCCCCCGCTCTTTCCAGCGGGATCGGGCGCGGCGGGTCAAAAACGGGGCGGGTCGGGCAGTGGGACAACAAATGCTTAATATAAGCAGGAGCGGTTGGGTTCGGGTTAAAACCTGGCGGGTGCGGGCGGGAGCAGGATTCAAAATTTAGTCCCGCGCAGATCTCTATCGTGCACCCACAATCTTGCTGCTTCCGAAAGCTCCGAGTGTTTTTAAAATCCGTCTTTGTAAGCAGCAGCAGGTTTTGTTTGTACTTTGAACAGAACAGATTATGGGCCTAGCGTTACCCGTGTGCACCTGATCATCCTTCCATTACCACATACGCTATGATTTCCACTGGCTTTTATTTTTTGCCCTGAAAAGTCGTGTGAAATAAAAATGAGTTGCAATGCGCCACCATGAAACCACACCCCATCTGCTCATGCACATGAAGCAAGTTCATACACAAGGGAAATTATTGAGGTATGTGGACTAACACAAAGTCTAAATCAAGTAATTTTAGCACATCAAAGCCAACAGCAAAATTGTGGCTGGTGAAAAGTGGCTAGTAACGTTGGAAATCTACTAGCCACAGTGTCTGCTGATCAAAATAGTTAATGTCGAGGCCTGCCTGTGTGCATATATGATAAAGACTGTACAGTGCCATTTTACATTTGATTATTACATTTTTGATTTGAGGAGATTAGATTTTGACAGTAGACAGTGAAGCTCTACTAATATAGGTAAAAAATCTAAACACTTCGTTTAGTGGATCATTTGCATGTTTTTATGAGCATTTCCAGCCAGTTTAACACATTCAGGCACAATAAACTAATGTTTGGAACTTTAAGATAGATTAATTGTGCATGTGTACATGCATGATGAAGACTAGCAGTGTTATTGCACATTTTGATTATTTAATTTTTGATTTAAGGAGTTGTTGCAAAGTTTTTGTTGTTTTCAAGCCAGATTAAAAGCAGAAGAAGTGATCAGTTTAATTGAATGTCATCGTAATGTTATAACCAGGGCTTGACATTAACAGCCGCCAAATGCGGGTAGATTTCACCTGTGGCAGGTTGGACAGACACTCTCACTAGCCACTTTTTCTGGTTGAAAATAATTGTTAAGTTGCTAGTGCTGGCTCCTCACTAAAGATTAGAATGTTAACTACAGACTGTTGGTCAACATGTGCAGATGCGATTTTAGGATCCAGCAGCATGCCTGACAAAAATAACCGTATACAGGAAAAATAATGTTCGTGCGAGCAAAAGAAAGCAGGTGAATAACAAATGAGAGGATCAGGTGCATGGTGAGACGCAGGCTTTCTTCTGCAGTGACGAGGGCTTTAGTGTCATACACACAACTGATGTGATGTGTCGAGTGTTTTAAAAGCTTGTGCGCTCTCGTTTCTGAATCGTGCCTGAAACGCAACTGGTTCTCCTTAAATGGACTGGAAAAAATTCGATGTTCGTGCACTCTTCTTTCCAGAGCTCGAGATTAGAACAGATTTTTACTGGGCCTAATGTTAACCATGTGCACGTGATCATCCTTTCATTATCGCACACAGAATGTTTCTCACCAGCTTTCTTTTGCTTGCAGTTATTTTCGTTAGTATGGTCTAATTATCCCCCTTTGCATTGCTTTAATAGGAGATTAACTCTCCATTCATGTGTAGTTAACTGCTGATCTGGGACATTTAGCCTGGGCGGACTTCTGTGCTTATATTTAAATACATGACAATGATTTTTTTAAATGTCAATTGTTTTCTGCTGAATAAGAGTGTTTATGCAGCTTTCTTTAGCTTGTTTTGATGCATTATTTAAAATGTGTGGCAAAAATAGTTTGATGTGGCCAGAGAAAAAAGGGTAAATAATATGTTGAGCCCTGAAAAGTCATGTGAAATAAAACAAATAGCAATGCAACACTGTGAAAGCACAACCCATTTCCTTATGCACATTAAGCAAAGTCATACACAACACACGAAAAGTGAAGCGAGGAGGCATGTGGACACGACAAATTTTCATTCATTCATTTTCTTTTCAGCTTAGTCCCTTTATTAATTAGGGGTCGCCACAGCGGAATGAACCAACAACTTATCCAGCATTTGTTTTATGCAGCTTATGCCCTTCCTGCTCCAACCCATCACTGGGAAACACACACACACTCATTCACACACTCATACACTACAGACAATTTAACCTACCCAGTTCCCCTATAGCGCATGTGTTTGGACTGTGGGGGAAACCGGAGCACCCGGAGGAAACCCACACCAACACGGGGAGAACATGCGAACTCCACACAGAAATGCCAACTGACCCAGCTGAGACTCAAATCAGCAACCTTCTTCTTCTTGCTGTGAGGCGACAGCACTACCTACTGCGCCACTGCGTTGCCCCATAACACATTTTAAATCAAGTAATTTTAGCATGCAGAAGTCAAATTTATGCATATAAAATATATTTTCCCAACAACAAAACTGTGGCTAGTGAAAACGCCAAGTGGCTAGTAACACTGGAAAACTACTAGCCACAGTGTCTGACAGTTAATGTCAAGCCCTGGTTATAATGCACCTTTAAGAAAGTTGAATTGTGTTGATGTTCACACTCATGATGGAGGATATCCAGTGTTATTAGATTATTGATTTGCCTGAATACTGCTGGACTGCCAGGAAATCATTAAACACTGTTCATTTCATCTGCATCTTTGCTCCACTGTATGTTTTAGTTCTTGTGATTTGATTGATCATAGTTAAATTAGATGCACTTTAACACAGATCTGTTGAGTTAAGTTGCTAATTTGCTAAAATTTAAATAATACAGCTCAATATTGTTATGCAGGAAAATAAGATGTCAGTGTCATTATTATTTTCCAATACCGGCAGGTGTTTGATCAATATGTGAAGACGCGTGCTGAAGAGGAGAGGAGAGAGAAGAAGAACAAAATCATGCAGGTTAAGGATGACTTCAGGAAAATGATGGAGGAATCGAAACTGGGTGTCAGGTGAACACTGAGAGCTCATTTAATGCTGCTGAATGAGTGTCTGTGATGCTTCTGATCTAAACATAGGATATGATCATCATTACAGGCCAGGTTTAGTGTTCCTCTTTTAAGTCTGCATGAAATCAGCGTTTACACTGTTTATTTCTCTAATTGTCAGCTGAAAGGTGAACGGTTAATCTGTGTGAGATTGTGAATCGATCTTGTTCTGAGTAAATACAGAGCCGGTATCATTTTCCATCATTAATATTTCCCCTGTTATGTATTTACACAAAAACCTACTTGATCAAGTTGAGCTGCTCTTACTTATTGTTCTGATATCTTTAGAGCAGGTCTCAATCATCACATCACTAGAGTCTGCATATTTCTGTCTGTGTATGACCTGTTACACCGATTACATTGTGAAAATTAACATTATTAAGTGATCAAAGCTTCGATTTGTTTATTTTTTCAAAACAAGTTTAGTCCCTGTGAGATAAAAATAAAGTTGTAAAGATGTTAGTATCAGGATATCTCTAATCTAGTGCCTCCAAAACTGACAAAAATTCCCATGTAGCAGATATAAACGCTGATGTACACCTCCAGTTTGCAGTTTGTCTCCTGCATAAATGAATCAGTGGTGTTTGTTGGCATCTTCTCATACTTCATCACATCTTCTTACCAGTCAAATGCTCTCTAGTATCTGACATCACGTCAAACATCATATAATAATGCAGATTTCATTAAATATGCGTGTGTAAGTCATTTATTTAGATGCAAAAATGATGCCTTTATAGCCGTATTCTAAGCATGTGTGTGTGTTTCCATACAGAACGACGTTCAGTGAGTTTGCTGCCAAACACGCCAGAGATTCCCGCTTCAAGGCGGTGGAGAAGATGAAGGACAGAGAAGCCATCTTTATTGAGTTCATGACGGCATTCAGGAAGAAGGAGAAGGAGAACTCTAAGAACCGCGGCGAGAAGGTGAGCGAACGCTGTTTACACACACACACACGCTGCAGATGCCAGTCTTATTAAACTTTCAGGAATGCCGCTTGTCATTTATCTGACATTTAATACAATAGAGAGAAGCGCTCAGCGGGAACGCACAGAAAACCTTCATTATACGCTCAGTTTGTCTTCTGAAAGGCTTCACGTAGAGCTGGACGACATGACCTGAAATCAAACCCTCGATTCGTTATTGAACGATTATTTAATTTTCAGTGTAAGGATTTATTTTGGTATTAGTTTTTCCTCTCATAGTTCATCTGTACTGTAAATAAACTCAACCATTCACTCATTCTCCTTCAGCTTAGTCTCTTATTCATCAGGGGTCACCACAGTGGAATGAATCACCAACTATTCCAGCATATGTTTTACACAGCGGAAGCCTTTCCAGCTGCAACCCAGTACTGGGAAATACCCATACACACTCATTCACACACACACTCGTACACTAGTGTCAGTGTAGTTGATCAGTTCCCCTATAGCGCATGTGTTTGGACTGTGGGGGAAACCGGAGCACCCGGAGGAAACCCACACCAACACGGGGAGAACATGCAAACTCCACACAGAAACACCATCTGACCCAGCCGGGACTCAAACCACAAAGCCAGTGTGTGGCCCTATTGTGGATTATTTTAATGTCAAATATTTATCACCACTAATGTACAATACAACATTATTACAGCCAGAAGGCAATAAAACATTAAAATATTATTTAAAGTTATTTTTTGCATGAATGCACAATGTAAACGTAGTCATTTAGCAGACGCCTTTGAGACCTTCTTGCTGTGAGGCCACAGTGCTAACCAGAGAGCCACCGTGCTGCTACTCCACTATTAAAGGTGTTTTTATATACTTTATGATGTTAAATAATTGGGAAAAGCTATTAATACAGCAGCATTGGTAAAAATAAAAAGCGTTTTTTTAAATCTAATGATTACAGGTTCAACATTAAAGTAAAACAAATTGTTAAATAAATGCTAAATGTAAGCATTGCAGATGACTCCTCATTATTCTGTATTCATCATAATCACAGATCATCATCAAACCTCGTAAGCATCCTCGTGTATAGTTGTGCGTCTGTGGTGACTCCAGCGGTTATGAATTACTGTGATTTTACTTGACATTAACATTTTTGATTAGCAGACACTGTGGCTAGTAGATTTCCAGTGTTGGAAAAATATATTGTATATGCGTAAATGTGACTTTGGCATGCTAAAATCACTTGATTTAAATGATGTGTTATTTCCACATGTCTTCTTAACTTTTGTTTTTATTCACATGATTTTTCAGGGCTCAACATAGAGCATTTACCTTTTTTCTCTGGCCACACCAAACTAATTATTTCCTTGCCACAAATTTTAAATAATGCATCAAAACAAGCTAAAGAAAGCTGCATACACACTCTTATTCAGCAGAAATGTTCTTATAAAACAACTGACATGTCGTTTATCTAAAGCTACACACAGTATTTTGTCCAGATCATCAGATAACTAAAGATAAATGGAGAGTAATTTTAATATTTCTATATTCAATATTAAAGCAATGCTATGGTAAAGGGGGATAATTAGACCACATTAACACAAATAACTGCAAGCAAAAGGATGCATGAGAGAAACATTCTGTGTGCGATAATGAAAGCATGATCACGTGCACACGGTTAACATGAGGCCAGCATTAATCTGTTCAAAGAATGGTTAAAGTGAAAGCAGCAAGAGCTGCTGCCTACAGAGAATCTGGAGATCTGAAAGGAGCAGGACAGTGGGGCACGAGCTACATTCTTATCCCGTCTAGTTCAAACAGGAGCCAGTTGCATTTCAGAGCACGGTTGTTTTGAGCAAGGAAACAGGAGATTGTGAGCACTCACACGCTTCACATTAGCTGTTCCTCGCTCACAGCATCTCTGAGCAGGAATTGCCTGTGTCTCACTGTGCACCTGATCATCCTCTCATTCGGTATTCACCTGCGTTACTTTGCTCATGCAAACAGTTATCAATCGAGCTGCTCCTCGATTCTTAGAGCACATCTGCACACATACTGACAAACTGTCCAAAACTAAAGTTCTAATCTTTAGAGACGAGGCAGCCAAAGTGGCTAGTGGGAGTGTCTGTCCAACCCGCCACAGGTGAAATCAGGTGTTAATGTCAAGCCCTGATTTTACTGTATTTATTACACACATGCTGTTTTAAACTGTGCTACATGTGTGAAACTGAGGCCCCGTTTACACTAGTGTGTTTTAGTTTGAAAACTGCGGCCATCTGTGCACACTACGCCGGAGTTCTCAAGCGCTGAAAGCGGAGTTTTTTGGAAACGCTGGAGAGGCCGTGTTCATTCTGAAGCGCTGCTTCACCGTCTCAGTGTGGATGAGGGAAAACGGAGACATCTGAACACGGAGGCGGCGCTGCTGAGATTCGCTAGCTGATTGGCTTTTGTGTCATTGCGTATCCTTCCCTTATTCGTCAAGCCCCTATCACATGACTATGACACACGGCTTTAACACTAGCGGGAGACAGTACTGTAAACAACAACACGGGCACAGAAATGGGAGCGTTGTTTGCACTATTGTCTGTTTTAGGCAGCATTGTGCAGTTCTTCATTTGTTACGTTTAGTAACTCGACCTCGTCCTCTGTCCACAACAACACCTCTCCTGCTTTCTTTGCCATTGCGTTTAATGTTCAACCGGCGTTTGCTGACTAACAATAACCAAATGCCGAGCGAGACAATGTCAGAGTGCGCGAATGGTCACATGATATACGTTTTTGGTGGCGTAGTGTGGATGGAGATATGTTCAGAATGCCGTTTTAAAACTGAAAGGCACTAGTGTAAACGGGCCTGAATCTGGAGCTGCAGCTGATCACAGAGAGCTGAACAGATCTGTTAATCACAGTTTCTTAGCAAATCCTGTTCTGTGGAGATGATTGTACACGTTGCTATGGAGACACGTAAATACGCTCCTGTCAGTCAATCCAGTGGGCGAGGAAAACTCCTACATCACGGTGCAGTGGGGCTCGAAATCACTTGGATTTAGATCCTATTAAAATAATTTAAAGCGGATTTATTGTGTTTCTATCAGTCTTGAATGGCCGTGGACACGCTATACTACACACACCTCTGCTCAAACAGCTAACACAAGTTGAGGTGGAAGTATTACCAGAGTTTAAAAAAATAAAATGACCAACATGTGGACATTACGCTGGTTATAGGTTATTAATACCGGCTCTTGTCGATTAGTCATCAAGCCCTGACTGAATGTGGACCTGGAAAGTGCTTAATAGTCTGTATGCAGAGAGACTTTTCAGTGACCCAGCTCAAACACCAAACCACAGCGTTTAAGGTCTGATTCCTTTAAAGAGCAGTGATCTTCACTGCCTGATTGGTGTAAAGTACTGGAAACACTGCTGTAAATGACGATGTTCTGCACCAGGTCTTTAAAATATGATATACACAGTATTTTCAGTGGAGTTGCTGCTCTCATCTGCTGATGCAGACGGCATTTGCGTTCACACTGTCTTTCATCTCAGTTTACACTTGAACAGCTACATGGATGCTAAAGTCTATTTAACGGATTATATTTTAATTACTTTTCAACATCGATACTGTTAGAAATTGAAATTGACAGTAGTCACATTAACCGTTCACCGGTAGTTAATCAGTAGAGGAAGATTGGCTGTGCATATAGAGCACATCTGGCTCTGTAAAGGTGTGTGAGCGCTGTGACAGGCGATGCTGTGGTCGTGGCTGTATTCGCTCGGTCCAGACTCTGGGGTTAATCAGCTGATTGCCTTTAGCAGCTGAAGGTCAGCCATCAAACATTAATGCAGTGAAATGTCACCTGTGCGGGGGGTGCGGGTTCACCTGGTGGCTTCACCACAGGACGCCTGTCTCTCCGTCATTATCAAAACACATTAACAACACTCAGTTGGTGCTGTTTAGAGCACTGACTCAATGTTCACTGACCTCTGATGCATGGCAGGAGGATTTATGGACTAAATTATAGCAGGGTGATATGACCGAGATCTCAGACCATGATATACGTCATCTCATAACATGCTCAAGACACACCTGTATGCTTTTTCCTTCACTTCAAGTTGAGCTATCAATACTATACAGTAGGGGTGTAACGATATTAAAACCGAACCGAAATATCGCGATACACCAACCACGATACGTATCGCGAAACTCTCGTGGCGTACCGCGGTACTCTCATGCTCCCTGCTGCATATACAAAAAAGAGAAATATTTACACTAATAAAAATAATATAATAAAGTAGCAAATTCAAACAAAAGTATCAAACAAAAATTAGTTAAACTCGAGCAAGGGGGTGATAGTGAAGACAAACAAAAGAAATAAATATAATACAACAATTCTAACTCATGAATAACCCCTCTTACCTCGCTAAAACTGATGAAAAGAAAAAAAGGTCTTCAGCACCGTGCGCCGCATTCTTCCCTATACTGAATAAAATAAACAAAGATGACCTTCACCTCTTACCTGATGTCTTTAACAATACATTTTCTACGTGTTTGCAAAATGGAAATCGTATGACATTTTCCCTTATCCACCTTACACTAAGACTGAACTTGAGGAGATACAGCTATATTGTCGGAGCTAAAAAATAATATACCCAAACGAAAGTTAAGCAAAAACAACGAAAATCATAATCATGTCAGAAAAATACACGAAAAACGAGATCAAAGGAAAAAGCGCTCTCTCTCCCGCTCTTCCTGACATGCTTTTTACATTCCCGCGCTGCGTCACCAAATGATGATAGATCGGTCTCCTGACCAATCAGCTGTCGTGAAGGCGGACCTACATAAATGACCGGCATAGAGGGAGCGGGAGAGAGAGAGAGAGATCGGGAGGCAACCCTAACATTAGTTTCAGACACAACCGCAATGTATTTTACTGGTGAATATGTCATGAAAAAACACTTTACAAACACATTATATGTATATTTTTCATTAATTTAAACGGAAACCTATCTATCTAAATGAAACCATATAATTAAAAATGAGCGTCTGTGTCTGCACAGAGATCAAGCCTCTCATCAGAGAATGTGGATATTATGGTGTTTTTGAAGAAGATCTTTCACTAGTCTACACTGCAGTTATTTATTTAATTTTAGTTTATTTAGTTAAGATGGCTGCACTAAAGAAAATAGTTTTTTTTCTGACTAGTCTATATTGGAGGTATTTATTTAATTTTAGTTGTTTACTCGGGTATCCTGACTGTACTAAAAATGCGATGACAAAGTTAATAAAGAGAAAGTTAAGATGTTCTTGTTATTAAGTGAATTGTCCCTTAGCATTGCTGTTAACATGACATCAACCCTAACCCCACAGCAAACAGAAACCGAACCGTACCGAACCGAACCGTGGCTCCAAAACCGTGAACCGAACCGAACCGTGCCTTTTGTGTATCGTTACACCCCTACTATACAGTGTTTATTTCATATATATATATAAACTTTGTGAAGCACTTTGTTCAATGATGGTTGTTTTTAAATATGTAATATAAATACAAATTGTGTTGAAAGCAATTAATGTTGGGCAAAGATTAATTATATTTAAAACAGAAGATTGTTTTAACATAATATACACTCACCGGCCACTTTATTAGGTACACCTTACTAGTACAGGGTTGGGACCATCCTTTTGTCTTCAGAACTGCCTAATCCAGATTTGTCGGCTGCACATCCATGATGCCAATCTCCCGTTCCACCACATCCCAAAGCTGCTCTATTGGATTGAGCTCTGTTGACTTTGGAGGCCATTTGAGTACAGTGAACTCATCGTCATGTTCAAGAAAGCAGTCTGAGATGATTGAGCTTTATGACATGCTGCGTTATCCTGCTGGAAGTAGCCATCAGAACTGCCGCTCACTGGATATTTCTTCTTTGTCGGAGCATTCTCTGTAAATCCTAGACCTGGTTGTGCATGAAAATCCCAGTAGATCAGCAGTTTCTGAAATACTCAGAGCAGCCCGTCTGGCAGCAACAACCATGCCACGTCCAAAGTCTCTTAAATCCCCTTTCTTCCCCATTCTGATGCTCAATTTGACCTGCAGCAGATCCTCTTGACCATGTCTACATGCCGAAATAGGTGCTGCCATTTGATTGGCTGATTAGAAATGTGCGTTAACCACCAGTTGGACAGGTGTACCTAATAAAGTGGCCGATGTGTGTTTATTTTGTATATGCGACACACGAACATGCATAGAAACCAAAACAATGTTTAATAAAAATGTATATATGTTATATAATTATACACCCAACACACAAACACACACACATATATATTATGCCAAAACAAACTTTGATTTTGTATGCAATTACAGTTTATTCATGTTAACTAATGCATTAACCAACATTAACTAATTAATGTATTTAACTAACTAGCATTTATTATTCATAGTTCAACATTTATTAAAGCATTATTAAAATCCAAAACTGAGCTTGTCAATGTTAGTTAATGCACCGTGAGTTAACAATGTTAACAGAGATGAATGAACACCATAACAAGTATAATAGTAATTGTTTGTTGATGTTAGTAAATACATTAACTAATGTACCAGGATTTCACCAACAGTACTAACCAAAACAGCAATTCATTCTTACTTTAACATGTCGATCTGCGACTGTTATAATGATCATAGGGTACATCTGCGTCTGCCGTCTCTGAGCCTCGGTGCTGACTGATGCGCTCATATCGTGTGTTCTTTAAGGTCAAGCTGGACTTCTTCGAGCTGCTGTCGGATTATCATGTGGACATTCAGCAGCGCTGGAGTAAAGTGAAGGAGAAGCTGGAGACGGACCCGCGATACAAGGCTGTGGAGACATCTGCGGCGCGAGAAGAGTTCTTCAAGAACTACGTGGAGCGACTTGCTAAGGTCAGAGACGCTGACTTCACAATATTTAGAAAATACAGAGCTTTGGCTGAATGCCGTTCACGTCAGTTTGGTTAATCCTCATGCACATCTGGAGATCTGTGTGTAGGCTTATGACTGATTATAGTGATATTCTCCTCATATGTGCTATTATTTCACGGAAACAAGGGTAACTTGAACATGTCTTACACACAAAAATACAGCTAACTTGGGTTCTACAGCAGGACAGTGCACTCTTGAACAGCTAAAGAAAAACAAAATGAAGACTTAGCAGTGGCCTAGTCAAAGTCCTGACCTGAATCCAATTGAGATCTTAAAAAGACGGTATTTTTGGTTCATTACACCTATTTAAGTCATCTTTTTTTGTAGCTTAGATATAGATATCGTGATAATCTTGTATACCAGGGGTCAACAATCTCGGTCCCGGAGAGCCAGTGTCTGTGCAGGATTTAGCTCCAACTTGCCTCAGCACACCTGCCTGGATGTTTCAAGCATACCAAGTAAGAGCTTGATTAGCTGTTCAGGTGTGTTTGATTAAGGTTGGAGCTAAACTCTGCAGGACACCGACCCTCCAGGAACAAGTTTGGTGACCAGTGTTGTATACCGTGATAGAATCTTCAGCGATTAATCAACACTGCTCAATGAGGGTTCATTAGTAAATATTGGTCAATGCATTCTAATCAGCACATTAATTACAGTTGCAGAAGTTTATTATTTATTACCTGCATTTAATGAAACGCTTATGACTTTTTGATAATGAGTGAGGCATTATGTGTGTGTGCTTCTCCAGAACCCGAGCGCAGAGAGGAGAAGGAGCTGGAGAAGCAGGCGCGGGTGGAGGCCAGTCTGCGGGAGCGCGAGCGGACGGTGCAGAGGTTTCGCTCCGAACAAACCAAAGAAATCGACCGCGAGAGAGAACAGCACAAGCGGGAGGAGGCCGTGCAGCATTTTAAAGCCCTGCTGTCAGACATGGTAAGATCAGACACAACACCTCACAATACGCAACCATGAGAAGAAGGAGTCAGTAAACGCTTATGCTGTATCACACCTGCTAGTCTCGCATAGCCAGAGCTCAGACTGACGGCTCAAGGAGCTTTGGCGCTTTTAAATGGTCAAGCCCCGCCCACTGTTATATGACTGACAGGTTAACTAAACCATCACACTTCATATATAAATGTCAATCAAATATATCAATGATGTTTGGGGGTTTTCAGCATAATGTAAGTTATTGATGCGCGTGCAGGTAAAGTCGTCTGATGCCGCCTGGTCGGACACCCGGCGCTCCCTGAGGAAGGACCACCGCTGGGAGTCTTCATCACTGCTGGAGCGCGAGGAGAAGGAGCGACTGTTCAACGAACACATCGAAGCCCTCGCCAAGAAGAAGAAGGAGCAGTTCCGCCAGCTGCTGGATGATACCACATCGGTACACACACACACACACACACACACACACACACACACACACAGTAGCTTATACAGTTATGGTAACTAATAAGCTTACCTCTTCTCAATCTGATCATGATGCAGTGATTTAGCTTTAGTAAAGCTGCTTTAAAACCATCATCATTGTGAAAGTGCTACACAAATACACTCTGAGTATACACAAACACAGACATATAACACATACACACCCAGCGGCCTGCTCATCTGACTCATCTTCTTCAGATCACCTTGACCACGTCTTGGAAGGAGGTGAAGAAACTCATCAAAGAAGATCCCAGATGCATCAAGTTCTCCAGCAGTGACCGAGTAAAGCCTCTCTGTTATTACTGAAACACACTCCAGCGGTAGGTGCTGCTGCGTTTGTCTCTGCTAATGCTGTGTGTGTGTGTGTGTTCGCTCTCTCCTCAGAAAAGACAGAGAGAGTTCGACGACTACATTAAAGACAAATACATCACAGCCAAAGCAGACTTCAGGACGCTGCTGAAGGAGAACAAGTTCATCACATACAAGTGAGACGCTGCTCTGCTCTTATTCTGTCCATAATGGAACTCTGCTAATCTAAATCCTGGATCAAATGTAAACACAGTCGGTGCTGTGGTCAACACATTCTTAATGTCTGTGTGAAGCGGATGTTTCTGAGGCTGCGTCTGAAATCGCATACTTCCATACTATACAGTAAGCTAAAATCAGTATGCGAGCAGAGTAGAATGTCCCAATTCCATTCATTCATTCCCATTCATACTGTATACAACACACTTTTTTAACGGCAGAGTAGTATGTTTAAATTCACATGCAGTACCTACTGAGTAGCAGTTTCAGATGCAGCTTGAGACTTTTATTTCAGTACGTTGATGTACTTCCTGCTGAAACTGAATATTGTGTAGGGCGGAGCTTTCTGTGACAGGTTTGTGCCTGTGTCTGTTGTGTGAAGTGGAAGTGTTTTACAGGTCACTGTCAGAACAGACTTATTCCAGAATTGTGAGTTCATTTCAACTGATAGCCACTCCCTAAAGTACTGATAGCCTCACCTTAAGGGCCTACTCACACTATGCCATCCGTACCGTGCCCAGGCCCATTTCCCGGATCGTTTGAGAAGTGTGAGTGTGCTGATTCGGGCTCAAGCACGGTTCACTCGGCCGGCCCTGGCCCGGTTGGAAGAGGTGTGCCTGAGCGCGGTTCACTTGGGCTTTGGCGCGGTACACTTGTGTGTGAGTGCAAAACGTGCCACAGCCCGAAACTGAAAGCGAGACGTGACTTTTAAGGGGTTGTTTCATATGGATTTATTAATCATTCTTACTGTTCAGTGATCGCAAACTGCAGTAGTTTATCAAAGACGAGAACTCCTCACAGCACGACAGCTGCACCTTCAGCAGACCTCCTCATTCCTGCAGCACGAGAGCTTTATGACTGTTTATGAGCGCCAAAAGTGGCGGATCTGTCCGGTGAAATATCTGACTGCGTGTCCCCGCATCCCTAAGGACTGTTTGGCGAAATATTTGACTGCATGTCACTGCATATCAAACGACTGAAATGATAAAACTAGAGAAATCTCCACTGTGCTGCTGAGTGAGAGCGTATGGCAAGCTGTTTTAGCATTTAAACCTTGTTCTGATATTAGATATCTCTAATTATATTTTGACTAGTCATAATTATAATTCGACTAGTCAGATTGGAGATATCTGCAAATATATTATGACTGACTAGTCATATTCCTCCATTGACTTCCATTGAAAAATATTTGCAGATATCTCTAATTGAGTTTTGACTAGTCACAATTGTAATTAGAGATATCTCCAAATGAATTTTGACTCGTCAAAAATCCAATTCAAGATATCTACAACTGTAATTCGACTATTAGTAAATTAATTAGAGATTTCTTCAAATATATTTGTAAATATCTCTAAATATGATGAATTAAAGACATCTCCAAATGTATTATGACTAGTAAAAACTCAGTTAGAGATATCTATAATTACAATTGTGACTAATCAAAACTCAGTTAGAGATATCTGCAAATATTTTTCAATGGAAGTCAATGGAGGAATATGACTAGTCATAATATATTTGCAGATATCTCCAATCTGATTTTGTACTAGTACAATTGTAATTGCAGAAATCTCTAATTGTTATTCTGAGTAGTCGAATTATAATTATGACTAGTCAAAATATAATTAGAGATATCTCTTAATATATTTATGGAGTCAGAACAAAGATTTAAATGCTAAAAAGGCTTGCCATTGAGAGCGCTTCTCACTGAACAGCGCAGCAGTGATGACGTAAGCGTGCCGAGGCCTGATATGGTGTAAGCGCGGGCCGTCGGGGGAGACGGGAGGGGGGACAAGCGTGCTTTGGCCCGGTTTCGATCAACTGTACCTAGTGTGAGTACGGCCTTAAATACTGATAAATACCCATCCCTAAAGCACTGATAACCCCTCCCTAAAGCACTGATAGCCACGCCTTCAAAGACTGATAGCCACTCCCTAAAGCACTGATAACCCCTCCCTAAAGCACTGATAGCCACGCCTTCAAAGACTGATAGCCACTCCCTAAAGCGCTGCTAGGCTCACCTTCAAATACTGATAGCCCCTCCCTAAAGCACTGATAGCTCCTCCCTAAAGTACCGATAGTCCCTCCCTAAAGTTCTGAAAGCCCCTCCCTAAAGTACTGATAGCCACATCCTAAAGTACTGATAGTTCCTTCGTAAGGTACTGATAGCCACGCCCTAAAGTACTGATAGCCCCTCCCTAAAGTACTGATAGCCCCTCCCTAAAGTACAGATAGCCCCTCTCTAAGGTACTGATAGCCACACCCTAAAGTACTGATAGTTCCTTCGTAAAGTACTGATAGCCACGCCATAAAGTACTGATAGCCCCTCCCTAAAGTTCTGATAGCCCCTCCCTAAAGTACTGATAGCCCCTCCCTAAAGTACTGATAGCCCCTTCTTAAAGTACTGATAGCCACGCCCTAAAATACTGATAGCCCCTCCCTAAAGTACTGATAGCCCCTCCCTAAAGTACTGATAGCCCCTCCCTAAAGTACTGATAGCCCTTCCTTAAAGCAATGATGGCCACGTCCTAAAGTATTGATAGCCCCTCCCTAAAGTACTGATAGTCACACCCTAAAGCACTGATAGCCCCTCCCTAAAGTACTGATAGCTCATCCTTATATAACTGATAGCGCTGGTCTAAAAGGCTCATAGCTCTGCCCTAAAGGACAGATAGCTCCGCCTTTAAGACATTCCATGTGACCAGAAGTGAAGTGGTTGTGGTTCTGCTATTATTATTATTATTATTATTATTATTATTATGGTTCTGGTCATTTATACCAAGCTCTACTATATCCACATGTAAACACACAGAAGAAGAGGACATTTACATCTGACAGTGACTCGAATCAATCTATAGTTTCTTTCCAAGGTCTGCATGATCATGAGTGTGTGTGTGTGTAATGCTGTGTGTGTGTGTGTGTGTGTGACTGTGTGTGTGTGTGTGTGTGTGTGTGTGTGTGTGTGTGTGTGACTGTGTGTGTGCAGATCCCGTAAGCTGATGCAGGAGTCGGAGCAGCACCTGTCAGACATCGAGAAGATCCTGCAGAAGGACAAACGCTACCTGGTTCTGGACTGCATGACGGAGGAGCGCCACAAGCTGCTGATGGGGTATGTGGAGGAGCTGGAGCGCAGGGGACCACCCCCACCACCCACCGCATTCGAGCCCGCGCGCAGATCCACCAAATGATCACACACACACACACACACACACACGCTGGCTGGTGACTCCAGGCCTACAGTACAGTGGTGGAGAGAGTTTGACATGCTGCAGTTTCAGAGACGCATGCAGACACAGTAAACACCGCAGCAGAGGCGTCAGTGTGAGAGGTCTCCTCAGATGAGTGTGTTGTCAGAGTGAGCGGTTCATCTGGATCTTCTCTTCATGTGCTGGTGTGTGTGTGTTCTGTATCTGCCTGTGTTTAGTTAAACTGCAGCGTCTTCAGCTCTCTCTGACCGTCCCCATGAGCAGTGCGCTCACACACAGGCTGAGCATTGGGACCAACTGGAGAACGGGCGTCTGATGTATTTCCCGGAGCCAGTGTTGTTTTTATCTCCCCCCCACCCCCTCGCTCCATCCCTCCGTCCCGTCTGAAGGCCGATACGGAGCGTGTGTCTTGTGTTTGGCTGATTTTTATTCTCCTGCAGGACTCTGCTTCTCCACCAGCTCTACAGACGTCACTCCCGCCACAGGGATATAGGAGGGTTAGTGGAGACTCTGTGTGTGTGTGTTTGTTATTTTAACTGATGCTGTGTGAACATACACACACACACACACACACACGAGCTGTTCTAGAAGATGAGTATGTACGGCTGATATGTATTCAGTAGTCGGTTTACACTGTGTTTGGGCTGAGCTGCTCGACCGCGTCTCACGGTTTCAGTGTTCAGATGTTTGTTCATCAGAAGAGATCGGGTTTTTTGGACTTGCTTTCTGTACAGCTGATGTTGAATAAAAGCAAACCCATTTTTTGTAACTTCTCTGACTGCAAAGTGCACACACACACACACACACACACACACACACACACACACACACACACACACATACACACACACACACACACACACACACACACACACAACAGCTCTGGAGTGCTTGTTATTGTATTAAAATGTATTATTTTACACACACAATCCTTTATTAGCATATTTATTCCCTCACATTATTGTGAATATTCTCATGATAAACAGAAAAGGGGAAATTAAATAAATTATTCAACATTAATCAATACAATATATAGAAGAAAGCACAGAGTTTCCGCATTATTATTATTATTATTATTACTGTTCGTTATCATTATCTTGTTGGATCTGTGTGCACGAGACGTCACCACACACTGCGTTCTGCAGTCATACTGCTACCCTTTTAATTTACAATACATCATTTAATAACAACATAATACTGTACAAATTAGGGCTGTGCAATATGACCATATATATATATATTCTATAGACATAATACAGTCTGGAGTCTCATATTATGCAGTAATTGGTATTCTGTGTTGTTGCAGAATAAATGATGATAATGACTTTTCATAATGTATGAGCGCAATATTACACACCGACGCAGACAAACATCATAACAGAATCCTGAGAAGAGTACAGTGTTTACATTTAGCATTATACATCATAAGTTAAAGTGTTTTATATTTCATTCATATTTATTTTATATTCCTAAATATAAATAAATAAATATAAATGAACATTTTCTCAAATAGATGCGTGTTTGTGCACACACACACACACACACACACACAGTTGAAGTCAGAATTATTCGCCCCCTTTTGAATTGTTTTTCTTTTTTAAACATGTTTAACAGAGCAAGAAAATGTTCACAGTGTGTCTGATAATGTTTGTTCTTCTGGAGAAAGTCTTATTTGTTTTATTTCGGCTAGAATAAAAGCAGTTCTTAATTTTTTAAACACCATTTTAAAGTCCATATTCGCCCCTTTATTTGTTTTCGACTGTCTCCAGAATAAACCACTGTTATACAATGACTTGCCTAATTACCATAACTTTACCCTAATTACACTAGTGAAGCCTTTACATGCCACTTTAAGCTGTATAGAAGTGTCTTAAAGAATATCAAGACTAATATTATGTGCTGTCATCATGATGAAGAGGAAATAAATCAGTTATTAGAGATGAGTTATTAACACTATTATAATTAGAAATATGTTGGAGAAATCTGCTCTCCGTTAAACAGAAATTGGGGAAAAATAAACAGGGGGCGAATAACTCTGACTAATAATAATAATAATAATTTTATATATATATATATATATATATATATATATATATATATATATATATATATATATATATATTTTTTTTTTTTTTTTTTTTTTTTTATGTCAAAACAAACTTTTATTTTGGATGTGATAAACTTTTGCAGTAATAAAACTGGATTGGATTGGTTGGATGTACAGAATTCGGTATATCGTGATCTATATGGTTATCGTGATCTATATCGTGATCATGTGGTTTTGGTCATATCGCCCAGCACTAATACAAACAATAGAAAAGTGTCCGTGATGGTAGCCGCAGTGTCCAGAGTTCTGCTGAGGTCTGCTCTGTTGTGTTGTGTTGCTGAAATGATTCCTACAGTCTTACTGTTGTCCCCCTTTGGGCTCCTGGTGTTCCCAGGGGATGGGGTCGTTCTCCTGGCTCTGGGAGCCCGTCTCCCGCTCCTGCCAGAACTGCTCCACATCCTGCAGAACTATCCCGTCTTTATTGTTGGGACTGTCCTGCGGTGCGGCGTCCGGCGGGGTCTCCGGCTGCTCTGCCCGCTGTGGAGGCAGGTCAGCCGTCTCTTGGCGTGGAGTGGGCGATTTGGGGGCAGTCGGGGTGTGCGGTCCTGGCTTGTTCTTCGGTGGTTGTTTACGAAGAGTGAGCCTCCGCCATAAATCGATGTAGCCCTCGCGGAACTCCTCGGAGAGAGACAGGACGATGAGCGGGTTTATTAGCGAGATGGAGAACATCAGTATCTGCGCTGACAGACTGAAGAGCACTGGAGGGAACCCTCCACCCGTCTCCACCGCGTGCCGCATCCACACCCACGACACCCACTGCGGGAGCCACATGCTAGCCATGGCTACAGTCAAGCTAAACAGCATTAGCGTTAACTTTCGAGAACGGATCTGAGTCCGCAGGTTCTGCGTCTTGCTTGACCTCCTCTGGCATCTCCCGTACGCCTTCCAGAAGTAAAGAAGAGCGACGCTTAGCGGCATACAGTAGGCTAGGAGCGGGTACGCCTTCACATATATTGACATGAAGTTATGGGCATGGAGTGGCACCATCTGAACACACACCATCCCATTGGGTTCCTTCTGGAGTTTGGAGAAGAGCCATTGGGGAAGGGGCAACACACAAGCCAGCAGCCATGCCAGCATCAGCACCACCAGGATGGTCTTCATGCGGATGCTCACCTGTTTGGTAGGGTTGCTGACGTACCTGTAGCAGGCTTTAGCCATGATGGCGACAGTGAAGCTCTTGGCGGCCATGCAGGAGTGCAGGAACCAGTCGCAGGTCTTGCAGATGAACAGCCCCAGTGTCCAGCTGGCCCGTGAGTACGCCGCCGCTCTGAAGGGAACCGTGAACGCCAGCACCAGACCGTCAGCCATCATCAGGTTCAGGATGAGCCCGTTGATTAGGGACAGTTTACTCTTGCGTGCGTTGGTGATCAGGACACCCATAGCCGTCACGTTCCCGCTGAAGCCAAGAACACAGATGACCCCCAGCAGCACCGGGATCAGCACCCGCAGCTCTCCGGGCTCCAGGTGCTGGTATCCACTGCTCTCCAGGAACGAGCGTCTGTCCACGGAGCTGTTCCCCGAGCTGATGTTCACTGATGCTGGCTTATCCATCTCCAGCTGACAGGCTGCTGACAGAGAAACTCCCTGAAAACCGCGAATAGACTCCAGCAACGGCTCCTTCCCGCGCTCTGTTCCCACTCTTGACTGCGAGGCGCGAAAGCGGGGCGTCTTTATAACGGTCGTTTTGATTGACAGGTCGGCGTTTGACTGACAGCTTCATCCGCGATCCGCCGTCGACGACGATTGAAATGATTTGTGTTAATAAACACCGGCAGCTACACGCGGGTTCGGTTTATTACTTCTGCAGTCACTGGAAATGAAGGATACTTTTATTTCCTGCTGGAGACCGACGCTGGTGATTGCTGATGGAGATGTGGCTGAGTTTTAATGAGGGATTTTACCTCAGGAACGGAAACTTCGCTTGGTCAAACTCAAATAATGTAAGTCTACTCAACTATTTAGTGCTCTGGTAACACTTTATAGCTTATTTATTAATATTTACCGTGTATTTATGTGTGAGATATGTTGTATTCACGATTAATGTGAATGTAGGCTATGCAAAATATGAGTTAAAATATTCCGTCATGTCCTCATTGTGTATGACTGAATTACTTGATCTAAAACGGACTTTTGTGTTGCTAGTTTTTCACACAAAATGTTCCACCTCTTACTGAAGTATAGCCTAATTACATGAATAATTTGTTTTTATTATGAATCTTATGATTTTAACATTATGAGCGCTAATAAATGTTGTTGTTATTATTACATATAGGCTAGTTATTTGAGTGTTATCAGGAAACCATTTTCTATGAATGCCAATTTAAAATGCTAGCCTATATTTAGTCTACTGTAAGAACTGTTAAAGTCACAATTATTGCTATTTGTTTGATTAAAAAGTACTCAATCATTGTAAGAAGTTTGAGATTTGTCTTAAATTCGCCATTTCTTTTTATTTTCCAGTAAAATGTTTCATATATCGGTAAAAGCAGAGGGTAAGTATGACCATTCCTAATAATCTGCCGGTTATCTGCAAACAAAGCTTGTATATTAAAAAAACATGAGAATTGACATTAGATTAAAAACTATTTAAACAAAAATGGTGTGTGAGAGATAAAATGTGTGTGTTTGTGAGAGAAAGTGTGTGTGAGTGTGTTAAACTGCCACAAGAGGGCGTCACTGTTTAACTAAAAACCAAGCAAACCAGCATCAGCTTTATTTCAACTCATTCTCATTTCTTTTTTTTTATTTCAACAATTCCATTAAGCATAAAGACTGCATGGCAAATATTTGCATGTTAGATACATTCTGCACTATAAAACTTTGATTTATTAAGAAGTTTACAACTGAAGGTTGATTTCCTCTTCAGAAGAGAACATTACAGCTTCATTTGTACATAATAAAATTCCCTGATACCACTGAACCTTCACATCATGTTAGGCTACATCATGATACCGGCGCTCCTGTCACCCTCAGGCCAATATGACACAACTGTGAAGTTTAACAGTCTCAGACAGTGGAAAACAAGTGAGATCTGATCATGTGAGTTGTTGCATGCAGTAATACTTTGCACCCAGCACAGCACTGGAGAATGCGCAAAAAACTAAACACAATGGCTAAACTGTAAAGTTATGAGCACACAGTGGAGACTTAAATTCAAGTACTTCAATTCTGTGTACTGAAAAACCACAATTTAGCTTTTCTTATCCCACTTCTCACACAAAGCTATCTTGTAAAAACATTCACACATCACAACCCAAACACCACCATCAAAAACCCTCCCGCCCGAGCACCCACATACCAAAAGAAGGCACACAGCTTATTAACAAAGAAAAGGACGACATGAAATGACCAAACTGGACCAGCAGGACTGACTCCAGAAACGTGAATCAGAGTCACATTCGTAGCTGTGTTTCAAAGGGGATCGAATCCAGTGTGTGTTTGTGAAGGCACCCCTTTGTCTCTTATGCCAGAGTATCAGCCGTTCTGTTCACAGCTTATAATTCTTTACATCACTGCAGTGAAACTTCACATTTGTCCAGATTTAAAGGGTTGGTTCACACAAAAAAGATCATTCTGTTGTTAATTGCTCTCCCTCATCTTCTTTCAATCCTCTGAGAGCTTCGTTCATCTCCAGAACACAAATGAAGATGTTTTAGATGAAATCCTGGAGCTCTCTCATCCGCCAAAGACAGCAAGAGCCCCGAGATGACCAGGAACAAAACATTGTCTAAACATTTTGTGTGTCTGCAGTGGTTCAGCTGTAATTATAACAAGCTCCTACAACCCTTCTGTGTGCAAAAATACTCATTCTGCTTATATCTATGGCCAGACGGAATGAGCGGATGTTTTTTGCTATTTCTGCTGAGAATTATGGTAAAAATCTGTGGACTTATGCGGAATGATTTTGGGAGTTTCATAACTAAAACCCTAATATATGAAATAAAAAATGATATCTTTTTTAACTTTTAATTAATCTTTACAATGCAAATCAATTAGATTCACTTTATTTGGTAAACAAATCAAGTCTCATATAATATCTCTACTGAAAGACGGAAAATATTACTGTACACACTGCACTGTACATAAATCAGATGAACATTTTCATATTTGTCAATAATATTACTGTAATTATTTAAAAACTGAATAAATATAGATTTACGCATATTTACTCAAGTAAATAAACAGAATTAATGATGGGCTAAAAATCTGCTGATTCCGTATGGGCCTACTTATATCTTCTTTCCCTCGTGAGGTCAAGGTGTGTGTTTGTGTTTACTGTACATAACAGAACAATGTATTGGCATTAGAATTAGCTGTATACACACAAACATGGAAACACACTCCATTATAACCCAGCATCATAAGAGGTAAATATTAGGTTAGATTTAGATCATGACGTCAGGTGACCAAACTTTAATGTCTTTAAAGGACAACGTTATTCGGACGTCCAATATCGATGTCAAATGACGTTTACATTTGGTTTATTTTAGGTTGTGTTGGAAAGTAACCAAAATCCAACATCTAATAGATGTCATAGTGGTAATGTACAAACAACGTGTAACATGTACCATGATTAGACGTTGATATTTGGTTGGACATTGACGTTGGGTTCTGAAGCCAACCTGATTTTAATTTCCAAACAAAATCTCCACAACACTGGGGTACAACGTCAATATGACATCATGTTGATGTCCTGCGCCTGCAGGAAAGAGACAAAAGACAGGCATACTAGTTTGATCTTAAGACAACACTCAATGTTTTTGGTCTTGTCTGGAGTTTGAGGCTCTCAGGATTGTCTACAGATGTGTTTCCATCCAAAGATATGACTTGGATTTATGTGCAAAACTGTAATATGTCATAAATCAGTAGTGAGTAAATCAGCATCTCCATCACAGTAGAGCATCAGCTCCAGCACAGGAGAGGAGTGGAGGCTGCTGCACTGAGGGGATTCTCCACTGTGCTGTTCTCCTCTAATAAATGAGTCAGAACACCAAGACCAAACGCAATCAACACGGTGAGTGTGGAGGCTCCTGGAGGCATGAGACGGGAGCGCAGACAGATCGTCACCTTGGAATTTTAAGGTTCTCTCTGCGTTCTGAATGATTTCGAGACATCGAGCTTCACAGTTTTTGCATTCCATAGCTAACAGTACGTGTGTGATATTTGTTCAAAAACAAAAAACTCCTAAAATGTAAACAACTTATAAAAAACATCCCATAATGTAAATAAGTTGTCATTTAATAAGAGTATGTGAATAACTCAATTTTGACAAAATCTCAGAGAGAACCTTGTAATTCTAAGGTGACGAGATGCTCAAGACAGTTCTGGAGGGAATAATAGAAGAAGAATACTGAGGCACTGTGATGACGGACTGACTGAGGCCTTTACAATCAGCACAACAACATTTCAGAATGTGCGTAAAATGATGTGTATGGAAACAGGATAAGAGAGCTTTTACATTTCATCTAAAATGTCTTGTGTTCTGAAGATAAATGAAGGATTTGGAGGACTGAATTGTCATGAGGGAGAGTAATTGATGACAGAATTATCCATTTTTGGTGAACGAACCCTTTAAAGACTCAAGCATTTCCCTTCAGTGAAGACCGTAATAAATAGTATAAATAAATAGGAGTTCATGGAAGATTAACGCAGAGTTAGCTCCTCATCATCTCCTGTGCTAGTTGATCTTGTCCTGGAAGATGTAGAGGTTATTGGTGGCCGCCACTGCGATGATGTTCTCGTACGGATGCCAGCCGGTGTGCAGGATCTTCTTGCTGAAGTCCAGGCTGTCCACACTGATCTCGTCTTTGCGGCGTTTTCCTCCCACACACACTCTGCGCGGCTTCAGTACGGCGCGGGGTTTGCTGTTCTCCCGCGACGCCTCCAGAGTCACATCACGCTTCGTGTTGCGGTCGAACATTCGGAAGAAGTTGTTGTAGGAACCAGTCATGATCACGCTGGGAATCACACATCATCAATATTTATCATCATTTATTGGTCATTATTACATAGCTGTGCACTGATTAATCATTCGCAGTATGATTAATACATCTAGTGCTGTCAAACGATTAGTCATTATTAATCACATCCAAAAAAGTTTGTAGTTACATGATATATACATGTGTATTGTGTGTATTCATTAGTGAGGGGCAAAGATGTCAAATAAAAGTTGGTTTTGACAATATATGTGTGTGTGTGTGTGTGTGTGTGTGTGTGTGTGTGTGTGTGTGTGTTGGATACACACACATACATAAAAACAAATCTATCCAAAATTATTTTGATTCATAGATATTTAAATTAATATCTTTTAATAAATAAATATCTAAATTGTGTCATATACAGATATATTTTTAATCTACTTATAAATAAACTTTTCCAAATTTATGCATGCCTTCAGCTTAGTCCCTTTATTCATCAGGGGTCGCCACAGCAGAAGGAACCGCCAACTATTCCAGCATATGTTTTACACAGCAGATGCCCTTCCAGCTGCAAGCCAGTACTGGGAAACACCCATTCACACACACACACACACTGTCATACACTTTGGCCAGTTTAGTTAATCAATTCCCCTATAGCGCATGTGTTTGGACTGCGAGGGAAACCGGAGGAAACCCACGCCAACACGGGGAGAACATGCAAACTCCACACAGGAACACCAACTGACCCAGCCGAGACTCAAACCAGCGACCTTCTTGCTGTGAGGCCACAGTGCTGGCTACTGACAAACCTTTACTTTAGACGTGAATAATAGTCATTAATATTTTCCCAACACTTATTTATGAATACACATATACTGTACATAATCCAAAAAAAAAAAAAGTAATATATTTACACTTAATTTGTACGATACGTAAATATGAACAAATTGTTTATACAGTCTAATCATGCATATATTTATATTCAAAAATAGACAGTATCTGCAAATGTGTTTTGTAAATATGAAGTTTATATTTGGATGTGATTAATCATTTAACAGCACTAATATTAACTTCTTATTCTAATTAAATATTGCATTTAAATATTAAAAGACTGACCTGTCGGATCCGTTCCAAACACACTCAAACTTGTCGAAGATGCAGTCGTTCTCGTACAGCGAGCAGAGTTTACCTCTCAGGTAATCATGCACCTGCAGGAGGAAACGGTCAGTAAGTTTGCTTGACAAACACATCTTGAAGGATAATCTCAGCCACACATGAGACATAGAAATGAGCAGTTTTGGAAAATATTGTATTGTGCAACACATGATCTGTTTTTGCTCTATTTTCCTGAAAGAATAAATTGCATTATTTCAAAAGGTCTTTAACTCCTCCATCAAGAGTTTGCATTGCATTTCTTAACTCCTAATGCCGCCAGTTAACACACTCAATGCACACATCAACACATCCCATCATTCCTACAGTATCAGCATCTACCCTATATGTCGCTTTATGGCAAAAGTACTGAATTAATACATATACTATGAAAAATCTAAAGAAATATGATATTTTATATGCTTTATTTTAATTTTTTTCTGTAAGCCAACAGTGCTGTGTGTGTGTGTGTGTGTGTGTGTAAATCATTTTTAAAACAGTCATTCTTTAAAACAGTACAACAACCATGGTCAACCATTTGGTAGAGGGGCAGTCAAAGGGTCAGCAGTATCTGGATGCAGCCTTTATGATGCAAGCTGAGACTGCATCACTCAGCGATGCAATGTCAGACACAATGCACTCAGTGGAGTGAGTGACATGATTGTGAGGGGCGGGGTTAGGTGAGCCCGTTAAAAAGCACTGGATGCAGCTCAGATTGCACTGCACTAGGTCTGCATCCAGACCCCTCTCCAAAGGGTTAAAGGTGCTGTATGTGTGTTTTTGACTCGTTTAGGTCATTAAAATATCATTACATGTTTGCAGATATTTCAGAAACACTTGTTTATCTCAAAAACTATGCTCAGGCCAGATAGTCTGCTTTGAAAATGTTTGTTCTGCGTGCACTGCAGGGTTTATAATCTAATAAATGCATATTAAACCTCTTTACATTATTGACAGTTAAAGCTGAGTGACTGATGTTTGCTGGTTTGCACCGATTCACAGTTCCAACATTCATTATCAAACGTTTATTTTATTTTCTAGATCTGAGGTGAATGATCTGCTGCTGCTTCCAGTCTGGTAATGCATGTGATTATTTAAACTGAGACTGGAAGCATTTAACACTGAAACGTGTTTTGATTTTAAATTGCAATACCTACTTTAACCTTTAGCTTTAGTCTTTGATGTACACATTGGTAAAGGCAGTGGCACTGCTGTGTGCTGGTTCACCTGGTACGTCTCCAGCGGTTTGCTCTCCATATTCAGATCCCACACCTTCACCGTCAGGTAGTCGCGGGTCATCAGGTAGCGGCCGCTGTGGCTGAACTTTACATCAGAGATGGAGGAGATGATTTCCGAGAAAAACGAGCGATTGCTTGGGTCTTCTGGCTCCTCGAAAACTGGAGGAGAGTAAGAAAACACAGATAAAGCTGTCATAATCATGCCGAGGTTTCACTCCAAAACAGACTTTTCTTACTTCCTAGGCAGGTAAAATTGTTGTCTTGTTGTCAGAAATAGACATCTAGGGGTCAGACGCAGAAATTCATTCAGTGCAAGAACTCTCATAGTGCATTTACTAATGTATTCTAGCTGTTTAGTGTACATCGTTTGGACACTTGTTACTGCAGTGCACTGTGGGATTGATTGAGTGCACTTCATAATGTCCACTATGGATCTGGACACCACTAGATATGCCTAATCCTTCACATAGTGCACTCTGAAGGGTATAGGGGGTGCATTCAGATACAGCCACAGTTGTGTTGAGCCTGAGGTGGATGATCTGCAGGTGTGTTTGTCCTGCTGTGTGTCAGGCAGAGAGTGTAATGAGTCCTCTGGGGAAACACTGATCCTGCAGAATCTCCTCTGGAAGATTTATTTAACACACTCCCCACCATGGAGGAGCTCTGACCCGAGGCGATCTGCTGGAGATCATGTAGCGGACACAAATCAGACAGATGTGTGCATAATTCAGGGTTTACTAGTGCAGGCGCCCTCCAGCAGATCTGGCCCTTTAAAACCACTGTTGAAATCCAATGTACTGTTCTTGTGTTTATATGTGTTTATATGTTCATACAGCGGTAGAGTGTTGTAATGGATCTTCAGTGTTTTCACATGATTCTTCAAAACCCTCTCACATATCAGTGATAAGTAAGGGAGGGGCTATCAGTCACTTAGGGTGGGGCTATCAGTCAATTTAAGGAGGGGCTATGTCATTTAAGGTGGGGCTATCAGTCAATTAGGGAGGGGCTATCTGTCGTTTAAGGTGTGGCTATCAGTGATTTAGGGTGGGGCTATCAGTCAATTAGGGAGGAGCTATCTGTCATTTAAGGTGTGGCTATCAGTCAAATAGGGAGGGGCAATCAGTACATTTAGGCAGGGCTATAGGTCATTTAGGGTGTGGTTATCAGTGTTTTAGGTCGGAGCTATCAGTCAATTAGGGAGGGGACATGAGTCAATTAAGGAGGGGTTACAAATAATTTAGGGCGGAGCTATCTGTCATTTAGGGCAGTGTTTTCAGGCATGTCTCTTTCTGGTCTGCCTCTGTCATCCATTTATCAATCTTCTGTCATTTTTTTAAAAAGCCCACCTTCCAACAATCCAATGGATGAAATCATGCTCCGCCCTAATTCGTTTCTCATTTCAGGACGTTTCTAGAGGATGTAAGTCATGATATAGGAAAAGATCTTCCTTCTTTGTCATGGCGACTTAAACGATGCAGCATGTAGGATTGCAGTCCACATTCTAAATAATGGAGAGGGTTTGTTTTTTCTTCACCTGGCCCTTTAGAATCAATGCACACAGGTTGCCAGATTGACGACACAAACAGGAGCAATGACTAAGCCTCAGGGGCCGTTCACACAGAATGCATTTTTCCTTTCCATTGTGCACCTTTTTAATTGCTTTTTTAATGTAAACACTACCTTAACAGACATGTAACCATTACGCTCATGTCAAACATCGCAAGTTTCTGTGTGCAGGCGCTCAGTGGCTTTGCCTGGGTACCCTTTGCTTTATGCTGTTTTTTTATCCATTCTGAAGATATCTCACATTTTTAGAAGCAAAATAAGGTATTCAGTGTGAATAAATATGTGTATATTTGATAAATAAACGCCTCCTTGTGCATTTTATAACTCTTGCGTCTTGGCTGTCCTCCACAGAGTGCATTTTCAGCTGCATCCACAAATATCGAGGAACATCGAGTTGTTGGCCGCTGTGATATTGTTGGGTAAACTGGTGGACAGAGTTACAGATCAAAACAAAGATTTTGATTCTGACATGTGATGCACACTTTCAAAGCAGCATTGTTTTACAGATAAACATGTATTTCCCTTAACATGATCCTGCAAACATATTACTCTATTTTTATGCTTTAGAAGACTCAAAAACATACAGCACCTTTAATATGCGGTATGCAAATGTCTGGACACATGGACCAGCGAACACATTGATGACATGTCATGAATCCCTGCATTCTTTCAGCAGTAAGATATCTGCCCTTAAGCATTGATTTTTTTCCCTTTTTTACACCAAGCTTAAATGTCAATGCATTCAATCTGATCATTAAAAGCACAGGGAGCCTCGCACCTTTAACTGCTGCCGCTGCCTCTTAATAAATGTAAATGCAGCACTTTGCTGTTATCAGTTCAGCCATGTGCAGCCAAAAGGGATTCCCGTGCACTCCGAAGTGTCCAATCCCCAAATGAAATTAGCCAGTAAAGCTCAAGGAGACGCAATCATATTAAACATTTGCATAATCCTCAGCTCAACGCCCTCGCCCTGAGCACAGGAGCATAATCCTGTAACAGCACATGAGTTTCTGGAGCTGCACTGGTAATGTTACCTCAGAGTGTGTATAACATAGTAAGCGCTCGTTTTGATCTAAGACAAAAGGGTGTACAATACAGTCATCTACATATTAGAGCCATTTTTCTCTGTTTGGGATGCACCAAAAACTCCATCACATAATATAAAAATAAATTATTTTGCCAAATGAATAAATAAATGAAATGTTTGTGCACTTTTAGCACTATGATTGTCAGCAGACGTGTAGTTTTGTATGCTACCACTGCGCAGGCTTACTTGGTTTCCCACCACCAGACAACATTAACAGTGAAAGTGCTTGAAAGTCATATTTGACCTTTTTCGAATGCACCACAAACTCCCGCCACACACATAATCTGCCATCGTATAATAAAAACAGTAATGTCTTTACCAAATAAATAAATCATTGAAGTGTTTGAGGACTATGAGTGTCAGCAGGTGTGTAGTTTTGAATGCAAGCGCTGCGCAGACTCACATTTGGAGTGTTTGTCGCAGAGCGCCGCGTCCCTCATGTCACACAGGCGTATGGAGCCTTTACTGCTGCTGTAGGCGAAGGTGTTGCAGTGCTGGGGGTGGAACTCTGCGTTCGTGATCACCTCCGTCAGATCCTCCATATTCACCGGCTTCATGTCCACCATGTCTGAAACCGCAGCTCAGGAGAACACACTACACACTAGTCAAAATAAAGAGAGTTTCTCATTAAAACTGCAAAATCATCTGCCAACGAGGGAAGCAAAATAATATTGTTGTCGTTATGAAACAATATTATTCTGCTAAAATCAGTGTTTATATTATTAATATATTATTATTTTATTATTATTAACATTTTTCTAGAAGTTACAGAATTGTCACAGACAATGCCAATTTAATCTTAACAGTTAATAAGAACATTGTTAGGCATTTAAATAACATGTTAAGTACTAGTAAATATTATGATTACGTAACAATGCAAGTACAAGTAAATCAACTATCGCAGCCTATGTACAGTGCTCAGCATATATGCGTACAGCCCTCACTAATCTCTCTTTTAAATCCATATGTTTAATAGGAAGTTCTACAATATTATGCTCAATTTAATTCAATTCACCTTTACTTGTGTAGCGCTTTTACAATGTAGACTGTGTCGAAGCAGCTTCACATAGAAGATCATAGTAAATGTAAACAGTGTAGTTCAGTTTTCAGTGTTCAGTTCAGTTCAGTGTGGTTTAATAATCACTGCTGAGAGTCCAAACACTGAAGAGCAAATTCATCCATGCACAGCTCTACAGATCCCAAACCATGCAAGCCAGTGTCGACAGCAGAGAGGGAAAAACTTCACCAGTTGGCGACAGTGAAGAGTTAAAAAACCTGGAGAGAAACCAGGCTCAGTTGGGCACTACTATTTCTCCACTGGCCAAACGTCTTGTGCAGAGCTGCAGTCTAGGCGCTGGAGGCTGTATGTGTGCATATACATTAGATTAGTCACTGCTGAAGCCAAATCTGGAGCTTATCTAACAAAATAACTTACAATAACACTCCAAACACTAGCACAGCCAAATGTATATGATATAGAAAAATATTAAATACACATTTAACAGAGGAAAAATCAAGAGGCAAAAGCATGAAAAACTGAGTTGAAATTTATCGGTTGTAATTTATATTTGCAATATTTAGCTTGAATTTATTTGCATTATCTTTCAATTTCTAAAAATGTTCTGTGACTAAAATATTGTTTTAATAAATTTATCAGTTTAATAAATCTTATGTTTAAATGCACCAAAACACATCGCCTATATTCACTGAGAAATGGAAATCTAGATAATAAACTGTACTTAATTATGCTGAGCACTGTAAGAGGAAATAATGTTGCATAATTAATTTGAGTGCATATCTGTCATGTGTTTCTTGTGCTTTCGTTGTGTCATGTGACTGTTCTGTTTTCCCACCATTTGTTAGTGTTAATCAGTTCCACCTGTGTTTACACCCCTGTAATAACTGTAATTATGTTAATCATGTCCTGTGCATTTAAACTCGACAGTTCTGTTTAGTCTTTGTCCGGTCTTGTGTTGCCAACATCCTGGTTGGTATTGACACATACCAACAGAATGACAGTGACAGTACACATAATAAATAAGAAGTATACAGAGAAGATAAGTTTGCACAGGTATGTCACTACATACAGTGTTGTACTTAGAGCTATATTGTGCTATATTATAAAGAGACGTCATGGGTAGCATGATTGCCTCACAGCAAGAAGGGCGCAGGTTTGAGCCCCGGCTGGGTCAGTTGGTGTTTCTGTGTGGAGTTTGCATGTTCTCTCTGTGTTGGTGTGGGTTTCCTCCGAGTGCTCCGGTTTCTCCCACACTCCAAACACATGCGCTATAGGGGAACTGATCAACTACACTGGCCGTAGTGTGTGTGTGTGTGTGTGTGTGTGTGTGTGTATGTGTATGTGTATAGGGTTTACTAGTGCAACTGGGTTGCAGCTGGAAAGGTATCCGCTGCGTAAAACTTATGCTGGATAAGTTGGCGGTTCATTCCACTGTGGCGACCCCTAATTAATAAAGCGATTAAGCCAAATAGAAATTGGATGAATGAATATTATGAAATGTAAAGAACGCTTGCTGTTGAATAATTCATGTTGTTGTTGAAGCTGCAGTGAGAGGATACTGAAGCTGCTGTCTGTGACCTCCAGGTTCCACAGGTTGATTCGCAGGTCATCGGTGGACATGAAGGTCTGGCCGTCGCTGTTGATGGAGATGGAGTTGATGTGGTATGCGTGTGCGTTGCAGAAAACCCTTCGCGCTGAAGCCTCCACCATCAGATCCATCGGCTGCAGCACCGGCACCTGCAGAACCGCACAATCAAACACACACTGGTTCATTCAGCAGCAGGTGAGCGCTCAGTTTTACAGATGTTTCTCAATGTTTGCATATATATATATACACAGCTGAAGTCAAAATAACTAGCTCCCTCAATATTTCTTTCCCTAATTTCTGCATAACGGATTCATCTTCTAATCATAATAGTTCTAATAGCTGATGTGTTTCCTCTTCATCATGATGACAGCACATAATATTAGACTAGATATTCTCCAAGACACTAGTGTTCAGCTTACAGTGACATGTAAAGGCTTCACTAGGGTAATTAGGGTAAAGTTAGGGTAATTAGGCAAGTCATTGTATAACAGTGGTTTGTTCTGGAGACAATCCAACACTAATATTGCTGAAGGGGCCAATAATATTGAGCTTAACATGACTTTAAAACAATTAAAAACAGCTTTTATTCTAGCTGGAAAAAATTTGTGTTGAATTTAAACAAATAAATATAACAAAATTCAACTTAATTAGTTTGTTTAAATTCAGCCCAAATAAATTAACAGCCACTTAACGTAAAAAAAAAATTGAGTAAATCCAAGGAATCATCTCTGAATGATTTTTTTCAGTGTTCTAGCCCAAATAAAACAAATTTAATTATTATTATTATTATTGTTATTATTATTATTATTATTATTGTTATTATTATTATTGTTGTTGTTTTTATTATTATTATTATTATTATTATTATATTATTGTTATATTGTTATTATTGTTGTTGTTATTACTATTGTTGTTGGTGTTATTATTATTATTGTTATTATATTATTATTGTCATTATTGTTTTTGTTGTTGTTATTGTTGGCGTTATTATTATTATTAATATTGTTGTTGTTGTTGTTATTGCTGTTGTTGTTACTATTGTTGTTGGTGTTGTTGTTGTTATTATTATTATCATTATTATCATCATATTATTGTTATTATTATTGTTGTTATTATTATTGTGTTGGTGTTATTATTATTATTATTATTATTATTGTTGTCAATAAGACAAAAACTGAAGTGTTATTTGCAGTGCAGAAATCAGAGAGTGATTTGATCAGAGAAGCAGATGCAGAGAGCAGCTGTACACACACAGACCTGTACTAATGTCCACAATAGTCTCTCATTAAACTCTTCAGATCCTCCTGAACGTGCTGAAATGACCCTACATGCTTTAAAGGCTGAGCTGTAATGAGCTGTAATTGAGGAACATGAACATGAGGATGTGCCGCTTCAGCTGTGCACGCTCAGACGCACATATTAGCATGTCATACGCTGTTTATTCATCACGCTGACAGACTAATCTTCCATGCATTTATTAATCTCAGCATTAGACGACACACCCAGAGCCCACCCGCAGCACGTTCACTGACCACCTGATGTGTGCTATCATCAAAAATAAAACCTTTATTTATATAGCGCCTGTCGAGTGCTCTGCAATAACAGTAGAAGCACAAACATTAACAAATCCAGCTCTCCAGTGTGGCAGATGTGAGATGTTGTGCGCCTCAGCCCTCTGTCAGTCCCTCATCACAGTGCTTCAGTATTCTTCTTCCTCTATTATTATTCCCTCTGTCTCATGCCTCCAGGAGCCTCCACATTCACCGTGTTCATTGCGTTTGGTCTTGGTGTTCTGACTCGTTTATTAGAGGAGAACAGCACAGTGGAGAATCCCCTCAGTGCAGCAGACTCCACTCCTCTCCTGTGCTGGAGCTGATGCTCTACTGTGATGGAGACGCTCATCTACACACTGATGATTTATGTCATATTAGAGTTTGCACACGAATCTAATTCACATCTTTGCATGTAAACACTGCTAATAACTGTTTGAAATGGTCAGAAGATGAAGACATGACACTGGTGTGTCTCCGTCCTCCATCATCGTCCTCCTCTCTCCACACATATATTTCACGCTCCAAATGTGATTGTGTTCTGCTGTCAGGCTAATCTTCAGACAATGCAGGAGGAGCTGCTGCTGCTTTAATCCATTAGTCTGTGGAGCAGAAAACAGACAGCGCAATCTGCACCCGCGGTCCAGCCCTCTGTGTATCTGTATTCAATTTACACTCCAGCGGAGAAGAGGAGGAGCAGAGCCACCCTTCATCACACACCAGCACTCTTTCTGCTCTGTGTTTGATTATGCATGACTGGCTGAATCAGTCTGAGCATCATTTATCAACATGAAAATCTGAGAATGAGAGCGAACCGCCACCATTAAAGAGCACCTATTATGCAAAACTCACCTTTATGTGGGCTTTAAACCATGAAGTGTGTGTGTATATGTGTGTGTGTGTGTGTGTATCTCATGTCATCAGCACGAGTGAGTTGTGTTTGTTCTAATCAGACTTGATGCAGAAGCACTGTGATTGACATTCTCCTGCTGTACGTGTCATCAGAGGGGGAAAGCCCCGCCCACTAGTGTCCATCTCATTAGCATGTCCAGCAGCCCTGAGTGAGAAGCAGCCGTCTGTCCATTATCCATTAGAGTGTGCTGAAGATGATGTCAGCATAGACTAAGAGGATTATATGATGAGATGCATTTTTAAGGAGTACACTCATTTACGCTGAGCACTTGCATGTTCTTGTGAGGAATATAACAGATTTCCAGTGTTTAGTCTGTGTTTACTGTCTGCTGACCCGTAATGTGGTGATAGTGGCCGGATCTCGGACTCTTCCGTCCTCATCCTTCAGATTATATCCCTCGGGCCGCTTGTCTCTCTCACTGATCTTCCACAGTTTCACAGTTTTATCTGCAAATAAAGCACAACACACACACACACACACAGAGCAGCTTCAATACAGCGTTCAGCGAGTGGGAAACAGTCAGTGGGACACAATCTGGCGCCCGCTGGAACCGCTCCAGCACTAGTAAAGGATGCACAGCGTAACCGCACCATCTGAACACGCAGAGACGCATGATGTCCAGAAGACGCTTAATACAGTCTGAGGAGTAAACAACGCAGTGCATAAACATGCTTTTATTACTCAGAGTCTTGTTTCTAGTCCAAATATCTACAAACTCTCAAATCAAGAAGCATTTTCTAGATGAGCAGAAGATTTAGTGTTGTGTTCAGAAATAATGAAGACAGTTTTTCATTAAAACAAGCAAAACAATCTGACAGTGGGGGAAGCAAAGTTATCGCGTTTTTCCTTTTGGAAAACATGAGGTTATTTGCTGTCTCCTTTGCAGAGTATTTAGCTTGTTTTCTAACATTTCTGTGCAGTGCATTAAGAATGCACAGAGAATAAATAAAGGCTCTTAGTTTGCATTTACTGAACACACACACACTCTGCAATTCAGTGTCAGTATAATTCTACCTGCCTCAAACAATTCTTAATATCACCGTTTAATGATATATTTAATTATTATTATTATTATTATTATGGTTATTATTAATATTATTATTATGGTTATTATTGTTTTTGTTATTATTATTAATATTATTATGGTTATTATTATTATTATTATTATTGTTGTTTTAATTATTATTATTATTATTATTATTGTTATTATTATGGTTATTATTATTATTAATTATTATTATTGTGGTTATTATTATTAATAATTTTATTATTTTATTATTATTTTATTATTATTATGGTTATTATTGTTATTATGGTTATTATTATTATTATTATGGTTATTATTATTATGGTTATTGTTATATTATAAATGTACTAATATAAATTATGTTAATGTAGTATAAATTAAATAACAGCCTAAAGACAACCAAGTTCTGGACATATTTAATGAGATAAAAAAAAAAGGTTTTCAAAACTGCAAGAATAATCTCCATTATACGTTTGACAATAATAAAACTCCCTGCAGCTGCCACTGGGGGGGCAAAACCTGACAGTCATGTCCACATGTCATGACGGCATTACTCTGGCTGTTTCTCAATTCCAAGAACGCAGCGAACAGACTTGTGTTCTTGTGAAGGCCGGTCTTGCCAAATTGGAAGAACGAACTCGGCAGACCATGAAAACAGAGAACGCGTCCTGTGAGGAATGAGATGCTGCCTTCTTCCTGATGATCACATGACTGTCATGCATTTTAATGGGAAATTATTTGAACATTAAAGCATCATACAGCGAGTTACTGTTTTTTTCCCTTTTCACAATATATATCCTGCATGACGACTTATAAATATTATATAAATATAATACTATATAAATATACGCTGCACAATATAAATAAAACAGATTTTAACATGAATGTCAGCAAATAAACACCATTAATGTGTTCATGTCTTTATGAAGATGTTCATGCTGTTTATATTCAGCTTCTCATTCAGGGAAACTCCTGAGATAAATAAGTGACATCTCTGCACTTATGAACCCATATAAATGCTGCGCTTCCCACCTCCAGCCCCAACTTCTGGGACTTCTAGAGCGAGTTCGGTGCTCAAGTCTGCATCGGTGCGTCCTCAATATCAAGAACACATGCGGGGAGTTTCACGTGTCCTCTGTTCTTGCGGTCTTGTGTTTTGGGACTTTGGCAGCTGATGATGACGTTACAGGAGAACATGAGGACGCAAGAACATTGAAGAAACAGCCTCTGTCTACACTAGCATGACAATAAGTGTTGAAGACTTTACCATCATCAACATGAGTTCTGCATGAACTCCCCTGATTCCACACTCACTTCTAGAGTCATCAAACTACGCCTTCGTTTGTTGTGAATACACACCCTCTAGTGACTTACTCTGTCTTTAAACTCCGCATGAACCAGAAGATTTCAGTATATGAGCGAATATTGAGTAGGGGGCGGAGCTTTCTTCATTTTAATCTATCAGTAGATTATGTTAATCCTAATTCAAAGAGAAAACAAGATTATCTCTCCTCCCCCGTTGTCAGATTATTTTGACTCATTATTTCTGAAAACAACACAGTGGTATTTGCAGCATATTTACTATAAATCTCTGAGTAAGAAAAGCATGTTTGTGCAGTGCATTAAATTCATCACTGTAGATGCACAGAGAATAAATAAAGGCTCTTAGTTTGTATTTACTGGACACACTGTAACTGGACAGCCATAAATAACGAGGCTTTATTTCTCTTTCACTTATGTTTGGACACAAATGCACCTTTGTTTGTTGTGAACACACGCCCTCTAGTGGCAGACGTTAAGCTTTAAGTGCGCTGCTGCTGTGGAACTGAATGGTGCTGGTGTTCGCTCACCGTTGGTGGACAGCAGGAAGTAGGCGGCGTTCTGCTGAGGAAGCCAGCGAATCTTATTGATCTTCTCCTCGATTTCTAAACTCTTCAGATAGTCAAACTCCGGCTCGTGACTCTGAAACGTGCTGTAAACATTATACTCTCCCCGTCTGTGAGGCTGGTTCTTGCTCTGCGCACACACAGGAGAGAGAAATCAGTCATGGACAACACTGAAACCTCATTCCCGGCAAACAAAACAGGGGTGTGTTCACCCACCAATGAACATTTACTTACTATTCACCCTCTCCCTCTGCTTTATTTTTTATGTTGAGCACACAATAATATATTCTGAAGAAAGATGAAAACCGGTAACCATTGACTTACACAAGATAAACATACAATGGAAGTCAATGGTTACCGGTTTTCAGCATCCTTCAGAATATCTTAGTGTGTGTTCAACAGAAGAAAGAACCTCATAAAGGTGTTGAAGGAGAGTACACAGGGAGTAAATGTTCATTTATGGGTGAACCATCCCTTCATTATACTGAATCTACAGAAATAAAGGTGTGTGAGCTGTCTCTGGGGTGGTTTGTTTTTAAAAGGTGCATTTGTACTTAAAGGGTACACATTGGTACCTTAAACATATATATTAGTACCTAAACATTTGAACTAATATGTACCCTTCTTCATTCATTCATTCATTTTCTTGTCGGCTTAGTCCCTTTAATTATCCGGGGTCGCCACAGCAGAATGAACCGCCAACTTATCCAGCATGTTATTACACAGCGGATGCCCTTCCAGCCGCAACCCATCTCTGGGAAACATCCACACACACTCACTCACACACACTCATACACTACGTCCAATTTAGTCTACCCAATTCACCTGTACCGCATGTGTTTGGACTGTGGGGGAAACCGGAGCACCCGGAGGAAACCCACACGAATGCAGGGAGAACATGCAAACTCCACACAGAAACACCAACTGACCCAGCTGAGCCGAGATTCGAACCAGCAACCTTCTTGCAGTGAGGTGACAGCACTATCTACTGCGCCACTGCGGCGCCCTAATATATATCGTTGAGGTATTAATATGGATCTTTCAGGAACAAATTTGAGAAATTTCAGGTGCAAACACCCCAATGACAGCTCGCGTACCTTTATTTCTGAGTGTGCATGATATTGGAAAAATCTGGCACTGTGATGTTTTGTTTTTCTGCCATATGTATTTATATATGGCGACATGACATTTCTATTTGGAGAGAATTCCTCCTTCTACATTGATTGGGATGATGTGGTAGGGGAGTGGATCTCCATAATATATGCAACATATAATCAGTTAAATCAGGGGTCACCAATCTTGGTCCTGGAGAGCCGGTGTCCCCGCAGGGTTTAGCTCTTGCCTCAACACACCTGCCTGGATGTTTCAAGTATAACAAGTTAGACCTTGATTAGCTTGTTCAGGTGTGTTTGATTAGGGTTGGAGCTAAAATCTGCAGGACACCGACCCGCCAGGAACAAGTTTGGTGACCATTGAGTTACAGCACAGATGGATGAGGATGGAGATGAACAGTGTCGATGTACAGCAAATCAATAGTCAAATGTAGAAGAACACTGTACAGTCTTCATTGCACACATAAACTCAATTATTATATGTTAAAGCTGCAAACTTGATCGTCTCTTGAGTCCAAATGGATTAAATTAGCTTGTAATCGTACAGTCAGAGGCCTTAAACACATCTGAACACTGTATTGTGCAGCCCTGGTCTGAAACCAGTCTAGGGTGAGTAAAGGAGGATTTCAGTGTGAACTGACCCTGTAATAGTGGCTGAAATAAATGCATTTGCTCTGTTGTTATGTAGATCCTCTGAGCATGTAATTGTGAAGCGTCTGTACGTGTTCTGCATTTCAGTTCTGATGATGGCCGAACCCGTGCTGTGAAAACCACCGCTCATCATACAGTGATGTAGACGCACAGGGAACTGAACGCATGCTGTCATGTGTGAATTCAATAAAGTGTGACTATAATACATATACAGCAGTGTAATGTTCCTCAGTAATATACTTTAAGCTCATTCAGTTTGCAGTATGAGGTGTTGCTCATGTTCAGCAGGCTTGATGATCTCTGATGTGTATCTGGTGTGAGTCTGTAGGCTGAGACTGAGATGAGGAATGGCTTTATTATTAGTGATATCTTGAAGACATGAGCTGATCCTCTCTGATGAATGAGCAGTTTAACGGTGGATGAATGTGGCTGTAATGCGCTGCTGACTGTGTTCAGGGTTAATCGTGTGTTTCCGGGTCACAGTTGGACTGTTGTGTTAATGTGTTCACAATCAGTGGAGGAGGTGAAGTCTGGACACGTTCACAGCATGATCTAATGCTGAAACCCACTCATGCAGACCACTCAGAGCACACACAGGTGGAGAGTGTGTGTACGTGTATGTGTGTGTGTGTGTGCGTGTTTGTGATCAGACCTCCTGCTCTCTCTGGAAGACCACCACTCGTCCTCCTTTGTCTCCGGTGGCCAGCAGCTCTCCGCTGGGGTTGAACTCCACAGTAGAGATGATATCAGCTGAAACACAGACGGAGAACACACACTGAGAACTCACACACAGCTCACTGCTGACGCGGAGGTGTGTGAGGATGTCGTGATAACCAGAGTTTTATGATGTCATCAGCTTCATAGATGGTATTTATCAACAGTTTTTTTTAATCCTGGAGAGGGCGGAGCTAAAGATAGTGAAGGCCACATCTGATTGGTCAGATTTAGATGAACAACCTATGCATGCAGCACACGAATGCCTGAGTGTGCATGTTTGTATACTCGCGCCCGTGTGTGTGCAAGTGTGTGTGTGGATTTTTCTGTGTGTGTGTCTGTGTTTGTGCTTGTGTGCATCCTTGTGGTTGTGCATGTTTGTTTGTTTGTTTACTTATTTTATGTGTGTGTGTGTGTGTGTGTGTGTGTGTGTGTATTTTTGTGTGTGTGTCCGTGTTTGTGCATGTGTGCAACTGTACATGCTTGTTTGTTTGTGTATGTGTATGTGTGTGCTTGTGACTTGTTTGTGTGAGTGTGTGTGTGTGCATATATGTGTGTGGGTTTATGTTTGTGTATGTGTGCATGTTTGTGTGTGTGTGTGTGTGTGCATGTTTGTGTGTGTGTGTGTGTGTGCATGTTTGTGTGTGTGTGTGCATGTTTGTGTGTGTGTGTGTGTGTGTGCATGTTTGTGTGTGTGTGTGTGTGTGTGTGTGTGCATGTTTGCTTTTGTGTGTGTGGGGGGGCTTGTGCATGTTTGTGTGTGTGGGGCGGTGTTTTGTATGTATGTGTGTGTGTGTGTGTGTGTGTGTGTGTGTGGGTGGGGGGGTGGGTGGGTGATTTTGTTTTGTGTGTGTGTGTGTCTGTGTGTGTGTGTGTTTTGTGTGTGTGTGTGTGTGTGTGCTTGCTTGTGGGTTTTCTTTTGTGTCTATGTGTGTGTGTTCTTAATGGCTTGTACATGTGTTTAAATGTGTGTCTGTGTGTAAACAACTATGCATGCAGCACACACACACACACACACACACACATTTATCTACAGTAATGTCCTGCAGCGCTCTGAATGCCGCATAACTCTCATCACCATAATGATCATGACTGAACACATCATGCAGCTCTCAGAGTCTACATCCGCTGGAGAAGCAGAGCGGGTTCAGAGCGCCATATCTGCGGGAAACAGCTGAAGAGGGAGATAATCTGCACGGTTACACACACACAAATACAGCCAAACAAGAAAGAACATAACCGAAAGACTGAACATGTGCGGAGCTGACTGTCGAGTGCCCTTAATCAGATGTGGAGCATCAGCGGCGCTCATTCATTATCATATCAGACACTACATCCATCACACACACTAAATCCACCGCAGAGGACACACACACACACACACACACACACACACACACACACACACACACACACAGCGTTCACATAGCAGAGCATTAATAAATCACACTGATTGATTGTACAGCACAGAGCGATCCCGGCTCGTCTTCCTCATGCACACAGAACACAGCGCTTCATTCTCCTGCACACCTGTGTGTGTGTGTGTGTGTGTTTCCTACCTCTCAGAAATCGCCTGTTCTCCTCCTCAAAGAGATGCATGAGCTCAGAGCGGCGCAGGAGTATTACTATGAGAGATTATTAATGCTTATACGCCTTCATTCAGCAGACGCGCGGCTCTAACAGCATCCGCTCCTCAAAAACCACACACTACACAGTAACAAGTAGCAAAGCGTGCTTCATTTTCTCTGAGTGTGTGTGTGTGTGTGTGTGTGTTTATCCACACCCTCAATGGATTCACTGGTGCTGAAGTGCAGACGGGAGGATGTGGTTGCCATGGAGACGCTTCCATTGCTGTTGTGCTCCAATTGACTGGAGGACTTTGCAGTGTGTGTGTGTGTGTGTGTGTGTGTGTGTGTGTGTGTGTGTGTGTGTGTGTGTTGCACTTCAGCACAGTGCAGTCTGCTGCTCCCATTCTGAAAGATGGCATATTTCAGATGGGAAATCTCAGACGGACAGAAAGTGAATGTCTTTCTTTACACTGGCTGTGTTTACATGCAGGGATGAGGATTAGATCCCTGTGCAGAACTCTACTATGTCATGAATCATCAGTGAGGAGATGAGCGTGTCCATCAGTGCTGCACAGTACAGCATCAGCTCAGCTCAGCTCCAGCACAGGAGAGGAGTGGAGTCTGCTGCACTGAGGGGATTCTCCACTGTGCTGTTCTCCTCTAATAAACGAGTCAGAACACCAAGACCAAACGCAATCAACACGGTGAATGTGGAGGCTCCTGGAGGCATGAGAGCGCAGACAGATGATCAAGACAGTTCTGAATGGCATAATAATAACACTGAAGCACTGTGATGATGACAGACTGAGGCCTTTTACAATCAGCACAACAACATCTCACATCTGACACACTGGAGAGCTGGAAACATGGAGCGCTGCAGACCAACACTACTGATGGAAAGACCCTCACACACACATTTATATCTGTCAGATCATCTGATCAGCAGAAACTACAGCACTGAAGCACACACAGACACAGATGAAGCTCAGATTATTCCATGCAATAATCCAGAATGCACATAACAACAGTGTTCTGGAAACCAAGCTGAAGAGCGTCTCTATAACTGCTGTAATGTGCTTCACAGCACTGTTCCTCCTGAACACAGTCACAGGCTTCTCCTCATTATAAACACATTAGACGCCGCGCTCCGAGACAGCCAGAAAACTGATGACGACGCTTTAATGAGTTTACACACGTTATTCTTCATCTTACTGTCACACACACGGAGAGGAGAGCAGATAGAGATTTGTGCTTGGTGCTCTGAAGCGCTGACCAGACGGCAACTGTTCAAACAGGTAGTGTGCTGGGTGCGAGGCGTCCTGAGTGATTTTGCCAGCCCTTTTACTTATACAGATAATGATATTATTTACATTTTAGCCAAGAAGAGCTATCTAACCATGTTTTTAAATGTATGTAATGACATTAAAATAAAGATGTGCAAACATATTTTAATGATCTGGGGTGCGTCTCCCAAACAGTGACAGAACTCGCGGCTGAACTATCATAGTACGATGCATCGGTTGAGAAATGAATGATGTAGTGACGAGTGTTTCCCAAAACCGTAGTTTCTCTGTGGCAGATCCATCGCTTTAATCACGTTAGTTATAACGTAAAACGCACATAATGACACTCTAAACTGAGTGGAGGAACTACTTCTGTAAAGAAGAACCACATCATTACTCTCTGCAGATTATATTGTTTTACACGCACACACATTTAAATTAAAATCCAATATTAGTTTTGGTTGAAACATGCACTCAGTCCCCATATTACCTGGAATATATGTAAACAGCACATATGTTTGATTTACTAATGTTATTGAGAAGTTGAACAGTACATAGACTATTCTAAACATCAAATCACTTTCAAAAGCTAACACGCATTCTAATATCATATATGATATGAATCATATCAATAAATAAATAAATAAATAATGAGGCGATTTATTATAAAATGAAATTTAATATTTATTATTTATTAGGAAATGAAGAAATCATATTTTAATAATAATAATAATAATAATGATGATGATGGTGATGATGATGATTATTATTAAGTAGGATGTTGTTTTTGTTTTTTATTTTTTTATGAAAAGTCAACTTTTACAAAATTTGTCACATGCATACCACAGCAGAAAGTTCTAAACAACAGGTCCATGTCATATACAGTACAGATACGTAATAAATAACCCACTATACATTTAAAGCATTAGCGTATGCTGTGTTTTTTTGTTTTCACAAGCTTTGGAGATGTAACGTAAATTCCGCTTGTAAATAACAGGTCACCTATAGCTTCGCCATGAGGCTGTGTTCAAAATGACATCAATGTTTTCAAAGTGCACTGCGAAGGAAGCACAACTGTAAACATGAAGATCAGTAAAACTGAACTGTTAAAATAGTTTGAAAGCAAATTACACCTGAGAGATGAGCTTAATGCTTTAATTGTTTTAATAAATCCGACTTTGAATGTTGGAATGTTCTAAATGAATAGGGCATGGGGGGGATAAGTGGAAATAGAACACAGCCAGGAACTCTGCTTCTAACTACAGCTCAAGAGGTGTAGTTGTGAGTGCTCAAGTTTGTGACGCAGTTTGCGAATGTTCGTTGGAGCGACGGATTTGGGAAACGGCAAATCAACAAACTATGTTGGTAATGAAGGAACTTGTGGCCTTAGTTGGCTAGCCATGGTTTTGGGAAACGCACCCCTGTGTGGAAAGTCTGCAGCTCATGGCACATGAGTATTAAGTGTCTGAATCTACTTTTGTTATATTAAGGACAGATAAATGCGCTGTGCACCGGCACACGGTCTAACAGGGCTGTGCTGATTCTCTTCATGAGTTCTGGCTGTGTTTTGAGCAGAACCTGCATTAAACCAATCACAGTCTCGTCTCTCATTCCCTTTAAGAGTCAGCTGCGTCGCTCCATGGTGCATTTGCTATTTACATGTAGACTCTGTGAGAGTAAAAACTGAACCCTTCACCAGCGAGAACACAGTTAAACAGAGCATCTGCAGCACAAGGATAAAGAACCAGCCTCCTCCATTCAGCCTCTTTACTTTACTCCTTTACTTTACTCCTTTACTTTAGTGGAGTGAGGAATCGGTGGAAACTCTCTCCACTGAACACATCCATCAGCCCACATGTTTAATTTCCGTTATTAAACATAAAGATTTGCTTCAAAACTGTTTCTAAATTCAGCTCTAATCTCCAGCAGAGGAATAAATGAGCAATAATAATGAAGTGTGCTCAGAAAACTGAGTTATATCCAAACACACGTCCTGTTCTTATGCCCATATGCTGATGCAGACGTCTCCAAAACCCCACAGCTGGACACATCTACACTTGTGTTTATTATAAATCTGCAGATAATCAATAACACTGATCATAATAATCACATTATACAGATGCAGATGCTCATCAATAAGCTGAAGAAGCCCCCCGAGGTGAAGAAGGCCTGGAGGCAGTGTGTT